ATATTAATACAATAATCATCCTATGTCTGGTTTATTTCATTCAGCATAATGTTTTCAAGATGAGCATCAAATATTTTTTATAAAAAGTACACATTTTACATGCATGCAAAATTTATTAAGTTTAACACTGCAATCAAATGGCAAAGGCATCACCAAAAAAATGTACGAAGCAAGCACCTTTTGCTAGCATCACTTCATTGGATCCTCACAGCCGTTCTGTGAGATGGGCTTTCAGATGAAAGAATTCAGATGAAAGAATTGAGCCCAGAGAAGATAAGTGACTTACCCAAGGATATGCAGCTTGTAAACCAACAAGCAAACATGCATTTTCAGGTCTCCTAATTTCCAGTCCTTTTTAATTTACAGGATCAGCTGCCTCCCATCCCATGTATCAGGATGGTCAAAACAAAAAGATACCCATGTTGGACAGCAAGTAAGGGAAGGAGCTAGAACTTGATAAACTAGCTTTTATAAGTGATACGGGAGGGAAGTGCTGGGAAAGGCGTAGTCCCTTTAAATAATAGGAAAGGAGGGAAGGGAAGTCCCTGGCGAGGGCTCCACACCCAGGCCCACGTGCCCGTGGGCCTAGGTGAGTTCAGGCACCCCGCCTGCAGCGCCCAAATGTTGCATTTCCCAAGACCACTCTGGCTCACCATGCCCCCATCTTGTGCCTATAAAAACCTCCAAGATTCTAGCAGGCAGACACACAAGCAGCTGGACGTGGAGAGGAACACATCAACAGAAGAAGACACAAGCAGCTGGACAGCGAGAGGATGTGGATGGGAGCACGCCAGAGGAAGAACACATGACAGATGCTGGCATGCCAACAGGCCACGACTGGCGGAAGGAGGCGCAGTTGGCGGAGTTAGGCCGGGGCAATCAGAGGAGAGCCTAGGCAGTCTAGCGGCCCAACTCCAGGGGAAAATCATCTCCCTTCTGGCTCCCCCATCTGCTGAGAGCTACTTCTACTCAGTAAAACCTTGCACTCATTCTCCAAGCCCAGGTGTGATCCGATTCTTCTGGTACACCAAGGCAAGAATCCAGGGATACAGAAAGCCCTCTGTCCTTGCAATATAAAGCAGGGGTCTAATTGAGCTAACACAAGCTGCCTATGGACAGTTAAACTAAAAGAGCACATGGTAACACATGCCCACTGGGGCTTCAGCTGCAAACATTCACCCCTAGACATTGCTGTGGGGTCAGAGTCCCACAGCCTGCCCATCTGTATGCTCCCCTAGATTTGAGCAGTGGGGCACCGAAGAAGCGAGCCACGTCCCCATTCCACACCCTGCAAGAGGGACAAGGGAACATTTCTCATTTCACTGAGAAGGGCATTCCAGGCTGGTAACCCTCTGTGACCTGGGTGCAGAGATGAGCTTGGTGGCGGGTTGCACAAGGAACAGAAATGGCATTCCAGACTGGTGACCATCGATGACCTGGGTGCAGAGATGAGCTTGGTAGGGGCTGCACAAGTAAAAAAGAAGCAGGATGTGGATAGGAACTGTGAGTAGCCTAATCTGATTTTAAAAGGGCTTAGAAGAATCTTTCCTTTCATTCCAACCTATAATGGATTATCTTAAACCAGAACCTTTGTTCTTTTTTTCCTGCCTCATGAGAGTATACAGATAAATAGAATTTCAGCCAAACACTACATGTGCCCTGAGAACTTCCTAGTTGGCATCTGCTGCATTTGTCTTTTCCCGCTGCAGCCTGGACTGGGGCAGGATGTGGAAGGGATGAGGCATTGCTTAACACACATTAGAGACAAAATCCTTGACAAAAATCAAGTACTACTGTGAATTTGATTCATTTATTTGATAACCCATCCTATAGACTACCTATGCCCTTAAGATTGATTTCTGCAGACCAGAGAATTTTTTTATTGCCTCAGCTATTAATGCCAGCTCAACCACAATTTTCTAGAATTGCTTTCATTTCTTTCTGAAAAACATACATATCTTTATTTTATATTGCATCACTTCTTTTAGAAGAAAACATGATTTTGCTCATTGGTTTTGGCAACATTGCTAAAGATATAAAAGCATTTAATTTAACAATAATTCCTATCAAAAGAAAGAATTTTTGAAAACCTGCCCAGAGTGTTTATTACAGAAACAAAAAGAAAAACTGAGAGGAGTGAAGACGAGGAATTTGCAATTTGTGGATACCAACCACCCATAAGCAGAAGAATCATAATTTGATTCTAATCAAAAGATTTGGTATATTTGGGGCCAGGTGCAATGGCTCATGCCTATAATCCCAACACTTTGGGAGTCTGAGGCAGGAGGATTGCTTGAGCCCAGGAGTTCGAGATCAGTTCGAGATCAGTTCGAGAAGGGAGATCCCTTCTCCAAAGAAAAGAAAAAAAAAGTGCAATTAGCTGGCTGTGGTGCACGGAGTTAGTGCCTGTGGTGCCAGCTACTCCGGAGGTGGTGGGAGGATCACTAAAGCCCAAGAGGTCAAGGCTGCAGTGGGCCAAGATCACACCACTGCACTCCAGCCTGAACAACAGAGTAAGACCCTGTCTCAAAAAAATAAAAAATAAAAATAAAAAAGATAAATGGCAAAGGCTTCTTTGGGCAACTCTGTATGTAAGTTGACAAAGATCAAAATAGTGCCAACATATGAAGCACTGAAAAAGAAAAAGTTAAAATATCTTAGCCTCAACACTGGAAATATAGCAAGCTCACATATTTGAAGACCAAACGCATCAAGGCTCATCTTTCCCTTAAAAGAATTTTCAGCTGGGCACAGTGGCTCGTGCCTATAATCCCAGCACTTTGGGAGGCTGAGGCAGGTGGATCACTTTAGACCAGGAGTTTGGGACCAGGCTGACCAACATGTGAAACCCCTGTCTCTACTAAAAATATAAAAATTAGCCGGGCGGCCGGGCGCGGTGGCTCAAGCCTGTAATCCCAGCACTTTGGGAGGCCGAGACGGGCGGATCACGAGGTCAGGAGATCGAGACCATGCTGGCTAACACGGTGAAACCCCGTTTCTACTAAAAATACAAAAAATTAGCCGGGCGAGGTGGTGGGCACCTGTAGTCCCAGCTACTGGGGAGGCTGAGGCCGGAGAATGGCGTGAACCCAGGAGGCGGAGCTTGCAGTGAGCTGAGATCCGGTCACTGCACTCCAGCCTGGGCGACAGAGTGAGACTCCGTCTCAAAAAAAAAAAAAAAAAAAAAAATTAGCCGGGCATGGTGACACACACCTGTAGTCCCAGCCACTCAGGAGACTGAGACAATACTCGCTTGAACCCGGGAGGCAGAGACTGAAGTGAGCCAAGATTGCACCACTGCACTCCAGCCTGAGCAACAGAGTGAGACTTTGTCTCAAAAAAAAAAAAAAAAAAGAATTTTTCTTTGTCAGATGTAGAGTATAACTTAAGGAAATTTATTAACATTTAAGCTCGTTAGTATAGAAAACTGGAGGAAAATAACTTTAGTACACATTTAATTTGCTATACTAAATTTTTTAATAAAGACATTCAAAAGGAAAATTTAGGTTATAAATAGCATAGCACATATAGAATATGAACACAGAAAGTTCACATCTAAGCCCTAAGCCACTTATGATAAACACCTATAAAAGGAACAAAAACTAAACTTCCACATTATTTTACCCAGTAAAAGATGTAGGCTATTAGCAGAAAGTTGGTTAAATTCAAAAAATAAAGATATAAAAAAATAAGAAATAATGAAAAAATTTTTGAAAAATAATAATAAAATAAAGATGTAGGCTACACAGCTGAGGCTATTATTCACACCACATAGAAATTAGGTTCTTGGGCCAAGCAGTAACTATAACATAATCAGAAAGAATACCTAAAGAAATAAAGTATGACTTCCTAAATTTTTTATTTTAAAAATGCCCAGTTTATTTATTTGCTTTGCCTAAGATAGCTGCATTCATCCATTACAGGGTCAGGGGACTATAAAAACAAGTATCAAACAATTGTTATAAATAATCACAGAAAACAAACTGGAAAATAAACAGTGGTTACTAATTTAACGTTTTAACCCATTACCCCAACCACCCAAAAAAAAAAGTAGACATTTTTAAAATAAAGATTAAGAAGAGTTGGTGGAATTTAAGGGAAATGCCATCCCATAATGTTACCTAAATACTGAAAAGGAATCAGAACAAGGAAACAGGAACAAAGCAGTACAGTACTTCGGTATTATAGCGCCACCCACTGGCTAGAAGTCCTCATAGCACATATGAGATGTAGCCATAAAATAGATGAATTCTTGAAATAAGGAAGATAACACTGACCTATTCTGATTCAGTAGAGCATCAAAAATGTCTAACAAAACACAGACACATTATATTATTTCTACAAGTAAACAGAATATCTATTAGATATGTTCACAAGGGTGAGTTTTATCCATTTTGAAATCCAAGTCTATAATCCCCAAATGCTACAAGGACTTAAATTCTATAGCCAAAACAATTAACACATAAAATGCTATTTCATCTCTGTACCTGAATACATAAATGGGGCCTTTAAGTAAAAGATGCATACTTGCATTTCATTGCTAAGAAATTCATAATATATTTAAATGCTGGTAAAACCTACAATGGCCTCTGTCTCATTTCCACCTTTACTAGAGAAGTAAGGAAATACACTGAGCAAAGGATATGTCCAAAAAACTAAACTGAAAAACAGTTTCTAAATAAAGTCCACAGACCATTCAGATAAACTAGCAAAAATAATTTTTCTTTAAAGTACCACAGCACCTTTGTAGTTCAAAATATATTTACCGTAATATATCTCTTTTTTATCCTAGTGACATCTGTTGTATTTTTCCAAATCACTATTTATTTCCTTAAATACCAACATTCTTAAAATCTTGGCAAGAAATATTTGAGAGTTACTTCTCCTGAAGTACAATCTTTCCTTTAAGACCCAGAATTACATATAGGGCATGACATTAATTTGTAGTCTATATGACCCTCTTGAATGTTGGTCTCTAAAGGCTGGACTTCAGAATTCCTCTACAGACATGACCTCAGTCTTCCAAGTGAGAATTCACAAATATGCTCCAGGCAGTGAGGACAGGCTTCAACTTTCTTTGGTTTGATGATAATTATCACTTGGCCTGCAAAAGCCAAGGTCTTTGCTTGCTCATAGATGGTTGATTGCAGATAAAAATACGATGAGAAAAGTAACATTCCCACAGACATAAATTGCCAACACTGCCTTTTTAAAAGCATGACCCTGAAAGAAAAATTGAGATATGAAAAAAAAAAAGTATTACCGTTAAGGTTTGTGTCAATGAACAAGAAAAGGACTTACCTCTGTTTCCGCTGCAGTAAATGACTGAAGGATCTGAATTCTGTCATCGTCTAATATTTCAACTGTCAAGAATAATAACATAAGTTTATAAGGGCAGCGTTATGCAGGTAAATTAAATTTTTAAAAACACCTGATTTGTACTGTTCACCCCAATTTCCAGGGTAGAAATTCTCCCATTCCAAGCTACTAATTATTGCAAACTTCCTCAACAATTAAGCCTCTCACAAATGTGGACAATCTGGCAAGAGTACACATTTGTTAAGTAACTTAAAATATGCCTTAAAAGTCATAATGATCTAAGCTCTTTGGTTTTATTTTTGATTGACAAAATATTGTATATATTCATGGTGTATGACATGATGTTTTGATATATGCATACATTATAAAATAGCTAAATCCAACTAATTAACATATGATAACTATCCAAGTTTTAAGTATATATGTATTTTAAACAGTAAGCCATCGACCAGGCATGGTGGCTCACACCTGCAATCCCAACACTTTGGAAGGAGGAGGCAGGTGGATCACTTGAGCCCAGGAGTTTGAGATCAGCCTGGCAACAAAGTAAGACCCCGTCTCTAAAAAACTTTAAAAAGTTAGCCGGGCATGATGGCACATCCCTGTGATCCCAGCTAGATGGGAGTCTGAAACAGGCAGATGGCTTAAGCTCTGGAGTTCAAGGCTGCAGTGAGCTATGATCACACCACTGCACTCCAGCCTGAGTGACAGAGTGAGACTCTGTCTCAAAACAAACAAACAAAAACAGTAAGCCATAATTCAGTGGTCATCAAAAGCCCCACATATATAAGCCTATCAAGGATCAAAAGTAGCAGGACTGATATGTACTACTCCACTCCTAAAGCCACCCCAGGCTCTCCTAAGTTTACAACATATATACTAGACGACAAATAATTTTTGCTTTTAGAAGGCCACCTTCACTTATTTTGGTGGATGAAAAGGATGAAAACCAGGCAGGACAGAAAGGATATTTAGTCTAGAATCCAGGGTAGTTTAAAATGACATCCATTCCCTCCTAATTTCTCCACTCCTAATGGTGACTATAGGTACCCTGACCCTGCCTGGCACCAAAACAGACCTTGTCACTAAAGAGCAAAAGCAAAATCAGTCCTTCCTATCTAGCTGGCTTGCTCCTAGCTCTATAATTATGCACATGGCAACCTAAATGATAGCACCCAGTAAGTTTGTCAAATAGGTCAAAGTTGTCCCGCCGCTCCATCCAGTGTTGACTTTGAGTCTCTTCTTCCTCAATCACAGGGTTCCCTCAGCTCTAGGATTCAGAGTTCGCAGTCCATACTGGCTCTAAGTCAGACCAGCAAAGTGAAAGTACTTACAAGGAAGACCCCCTCCCTAAAACCTAAAAACCTTTCCTTTATATCTTATTCACAACTTCTAATGGTAACAATTGTAAAAAAACAAAGGCAGAAAATCTCCACCATTTCTACCACTGGCTGAGTGATCACAAATTTTTAGTGAGCTACCAATGTAATAGTTAGCCGTTACTATCAGGAAACTCATTCTTTTCCAATGGTTTATATAAAAGTGATTTGACATAACGTGGCTTTTTTAGCAGATTACCTTTGCGAGACAGCCGATAAGCGTGTACCTCCAGAACAATCTCAGTCCCTACATGCCAGGCTACAAATCCAATCATTGCATAGGTTTTCCGTGAATCAGGAAGATTCAGTCCTGGTAAATCCATTCCCAGGAACATCGCTGCCACTACATATAAAAGAAAAAAGTTATATTCAAATGTTGTCCCACCAAGAGAGACAATTGTGTGTTTGTGTATGTGCATTGTCAAGTAAAACATACTAAAAGAGTTTGAGATTAAAAAAAAAAAGATTAATATTTAAGACAAAATAGTTAATTTAGGCTTTTAAAATTATAAGGCTAGATAGGGCAAGATGGGCAATTGATTATGAATTACCAGTTGTGGGGGGCAGTTTAGGGCATATTGCATAATAACACTGGAGTTTGGCCTTCTAGTGAACCCATCACCCAAAGTGGTGAACATAGTACCCAAAGGGTTGTGTTTCAACTCTTTCCCCCACTCCTCCCTCTCCTCGTTTGGAGTCCCCAGAGTCTATTGTTTCTATCTTTACGTCCGCGTGTACTCATTGTTCAGCTCACATTTATAAGTGAGAACGTGTGGTATGTGATTTTCGGTTTCTGCATTTATTCATGTAGGATAATCAATTCCAGCAGCATCCATGTTGCTACAAAAGACATGATTTCATTCTTTTTTATGGCTGCATAATGGACCAATTGTTAAAAGAGATGCACCCACATTTTCCAGATTGTTTTAAGTCTGCAATGAATGAAAGGAGAAAAGTATAGAAACCATGGTTGATTGGACTCCTCCTCTGACAAAGAATCCCATAGATTATAGCAGTGTTAGGGTAGAAGGTACCTACTTAGGTGTTTATTATACAAGGTATCAAAATACACTGTATAATTATTCCTGACTTTTGAAAACCACCCTACCTGGAAGATACAAGCCCCGTGGAAAGGACCTGGAGATGGAAAGCTTGAACCCAGCAACCCACCTCAACCCAATTCACAAATGACCCTCAATTTGAGCTACTCAAATGTTTGGCCATCAGCATAGCTTATTCTGCTGGCAAAGGCAAATGCTAAAATAAGTCTTAAAATGAGAGTTTTAAAGTTATTTTAAAGACCTTAAACTTAAAACTGAAATAATGACTTAAATCATTACCTCTAGAAATTACTTTCTGGATTTCAACGTTTAAGGCTGATTTCTCCTCAACAACCAATTACTCCAATTACTAATGCATCTAAAAATCATTTAAGCCAAATTACAACTTGCAATATAAACAGCTAGCAATTATATATGAATAAGTGGCATCACAATCTCTTACCTGCTATTATTCTAGCAGCTGTTCCCATACTCCAATGAGTCCAGTTAAACATTTGCCTTCTACCAAAATAAGAACCAGTCAGTGTTCTTAAAAGCAATGGAACTATAATTAATTCCCAATAGAATAAAAAGCATGTAATTTCTCTTTTTGTCTGGGAATTAGATATCTGAAATGCATTTTAAAGTATTTCAAAGTAACTATAATTTATCACTGAATTTTATAAAATGCAAAATTTTTCCATTTGAAAAGAGATTAGTTTGCCAGCTAATGATATCTACATTAAGAGAGCATTTATATAGAAAGGCTCTAAGTACCTTGGGTCATGTAAAGGTGGCCTGAAGACTGCCAGAAGAGGCTGAAGAACTGCCAAAGTCATCACTATACAGCCGAGGTATGGGTGGTAACCTGCACGCTAAACAAATTTACATCATTTCAATGGCCTCAATCTCTCTCATCAATTTAAATCCTCAAGTTAAAAATAATACACACAGATGCATTCTTAGTATTTTTCCATGGCTTTAAACATTCAATAATGATAATAATAACAGGCAACATTCACTGAGTATACACATTGTACCAGGAACATACTTTACACACACTAACTCTCACTACAATGTTTGACAACTGGTTATCAATATCCCAGTTTTACAAATGGGGAAACTGAGGCTCAGAGATATCAAGAACTATGTCCATGGTCACAGTATGTAAATGGTTGTGGTGGAATCCATGTAGAGAATGCTACCTCTCCCCATCAGGATGCTACAGGTTGGTACAAAAGTAGTTGCAGTTTTTTTCAAGTATTTTAATCCACAATTACTTTTGCACCAACCTAATAGATGGCCACCAACATCAGAATAGCCATCTGCAGCCCAGCTGGGACTAGTTAGTGTCCCCATGTCAAGCGCAATCACCCCAGCGTATGGTAATAATTGGTTTAGCCCTCTATGTTTCCCTGAACCGTGGGTTCTATATGACTCCCTGTAACCCTGGAGCTTAACAGAGTCTTAGTCACTCAATAAATGTTTGTTGATTCAGTGCATAACCTATATAGCCACTGTATTAAAAGCTTATCACCTCTGTCCAGAATGAAGATCTAACCCAAGAAAAAGTACTGACAGACTATCACAATAGTTTCTGCTGCATTCCTCCTTTAGTGATGTCACATGCCTGCTCAGAACAGCAGATAGTTGGATTCGACCACTTTGTGCAATGATTTTTCATTCAAACACTTAAGAGAAGGACTAAGAAGATATTCTAACCTGTGACACATTTGGATGGAGGGATACTACTGTCTGTTGTCAGTGATGCCCATGCTTGGTAGCACAGATTTGTATCGGTGACCTAGAAACGGGGACATAGTGGTTTCTAAGCCATCATAGGAAGTCCTTGTAAATAGGAACTAAAGGCTAACAAAAGAACAGTATGAAAACATTCTCAAACCGTGGACTCAGTGACGCATGGGTAAAATTATAACCATGACTTTAGAGATACAAAGGGTCTCTAATAAAAAATAAAACAGCAGCAGTAACAAGATTCTTGCATGTGTTAGAATGTGCTAGGAATTATCCTAAGTACTTTGAGTTATTTTATCCCCAATCCTCACAGAAAGCCTATAAGATAGATACTATACCATCCCCATTTTACAGATGAGTAAATTGAGGGTCATAGTTAAATAACTTGCCCAAGGTGTGCCCGCCAGGTAATAAGTCATGGTGGCAGGATTTGAATCCAAGGAATCCAGCTTTAGAATGGTGCTCTTAACCTTTGTTCTATCGTATTCATAAACTGCAAAGGCTATAAACTAGACAATTACAAAATAAGTGTTACCCTTGTCCCAAATGTCTGAATTAAAATAAAGTTCTCATGTCTCAACTCATATCACAAAATATTCATAACTTCCTTAAAAAGATAGGTTGACTGACACAAAAACTACCTAAAAAGCAGGAGGGAGATTTCCTAGTAATATCTGTGACCCAGGATTCGTCAATCTTATCCCCGTGGCACCAGCCCAAGCTCTGAAATATGAAATTTTGATATCAAATTCTCATTGGCTATAAAAACTGGAAAAGCGTAATGAAAGCACAGGCTCTGAACTTAACGTATATCACTTATTCTCAATAAGACTTATTCATTCATTCACTAAATGTTTACTGAGTACCTGCTACATACTTAAATCTGTTCTGAACATACCAGTGGATATCCCAGCTCTGACAGAACTGACATAGTAGTGTTGGAAGGGAGATCAGGAAAAAATATGACAAGTAAGTAAATTATATGAAATGGTATAACATAAAGAGTGCTATGGGAAAAAATAGAGCAAGGCAGGGCTCTCTGAGAGGCTTCCATTTGAGCAAAGACTTGAGGAAGGTGAGGGAGTAATGGGAGCATGTGCCAGGCTGAAAGAAGAATGATGGCAAAGACTATAAAGCAGGAGCATGCCTGGCATGTCTGCATACCAGCCAGGAGGCCGGTATGGAAGGAGATGGACTAGATGGAGAGGACGAGGAGGTCAGTTCAGAGAATAACTGGGAGCCAGTCATGAAAGTCCCTGGAAGAACTTTGATTTTTACTCTGAATAAAATTGAGAGACATTAAAGAAATCAGTTTGGGGTACAAGAATGGCATGGTCTGATTTACTTTTTTTTTTTTTTTTTTTTTTTGAGACAGAGTCTCACTGTGTCACCTAAGCTAGAGTGCAGTGGTGCGATCTCAGCTCACTGCAACCTCCGCCTCCCAGGTTCAAGTGGTTCTCCTGCCTCAGCCTTCTGAGTAGCTGGGATTACAGGTGTGCACCACCACGCCTGGCTAATTTTTGTACTTTTAGTAGAGACGGGGTTTCACCATGTTGATCAGGCTGGTCTCAAACTCCTGACCTCAAGATCCGCCTGCCTCTGCCTCCCAAAGTGCTGGGATTACAGGCGTGAGCCACCACACCTAGCCTGGTTTACATTTTAAAAAAAAATAACTCTCTTCTTTGTAGAAAACAGATTGTGCATGGGCAAGGGTTGAAGTGGAGGGACCAGTTAAGTGGCTACTGCAATGGCCAAGCAAAAGATGATGGAGGCTCACACTCCTACAGTAGTATCTGATGACAGTGACAAGTGTTAGACTGTGGATATACTTTACATGTAGAGCCAATGGAACTTCCCAATGGATTTGACATGGGATGTGCAAGAGAGCACAGTTAATGATAATTCCAAGGCTTTGATCTAACAATGGAATTCCAGTAGCTACCATGGAGGTGGCAGTGGGTGGAGCAGCCCTGGGAGAAAAGATGGTCAGGAGTCCCATTTTGGACGTGTTAAGTCTGATGTCTTAGACATGCAAGTCAAAGTCCTGCATGAAATGTGAGCTAGATGTGTGAGTCTCAAGCCACAGGAGAAGTCTGGACTGGAGATAAAGATTTGGGAATAAGCATCAGTTTCTTCATTTGTGACATGGGATTATTATTAATACCTACTAATCTGAAATTTAAAAGATTTTTAAATAAAAATATGTAGAGATGAGGCCTCACTATGTTGCCTAGGCTGGTCTCGAACTCCTGAGCTCAAGCAATCCTCCCACTTCAGCTCCCAAAGTGCTGGGATGACAGGTGTGAACCACCACACCCAGCCTGAGATTTAAATTAGATAACACATATAAAGCACTGAGAACCACTGGGTACAGAGTAGAAATCCAAATTATGTTAGCTTAGTGGTCATCATAGTACTAGTTAGAGAAAACCACCTCACATTGTTCATGTTCCTGAGACATCACACATTGAATTGTCATCCCTCTATAGTGAGAAAAATTAACTAAGGCTGTAGCATGTATATAACTCATGATGCAGCCTACAAATACATTTCATTACTGAATAATCTGTACTGACATCCTCACCCTACCCCAACCTCTAACCATGTGAAAGAGCCATCCAATGATTCAAAAGGGAAAGAAAGAGGGATCGATGAAGAAATATCTTTTTACCCATCATTTGAGAATAAAACAGCAATCTGTTTTGACGTAAAATGGATTTACATAAAAACATCCTATTTAAGATATACTTACCCTACTCCAGCCTCCCCTGTATATAAATGGCAAAACAAAAGCAATGCAGGTGAGGGCAGTTGTGGTGAACATGAGCATTCGATGCACCTGCAAGGTAAAATGACAAATTGAGAAGACACTTATCCATGTAAGAGAAAGGTAGTGTTACAATGGGGAAAATGGGGAAAAGACCATGGGGTAAGATTCACTGAAGGCATGCATTCAACTGACATCTAATCACAGTTTGTAATCAGGTTAAAAAAAAATTAGTATACAATTAAACTTTAAAGAAAACCCTAAGTTGCCATTCTCATCATTCAAAAGTGTATGCCAAGACTTCACCTGCACAGAGCAGCAGGAATGGATATTTCACGCACAGAGCATATTTACTTGCCAAGTCCTTCATTTCCTTCCAAAGATATTTATTAAGCTCCACCATTGAGCACAGTGCTATAACAGGTGCAATGAAATAGTAAGGAAACAAACAAACAAAAAATACTGTCTCCTGAGGAGCTTCAGTTATAATTGAGTCAATAAGAGAAAAATATGTGAACTATGTAATTCATGATACAAATTAGGAGAATAGTAAGTGTGAAAATAGCCACTGTTTATTGATTATGCCAGGATAACTGGTGCAGACCAAAACTATCTTGGGGAAAGTAGAAGGCACCCTGTGTATGAGTGTGTGTATGGATGGAGATGGATGGCTGGACGGATAGATGGATGGATGGATGGATGGATGGATGGATGGATGGATGGATGGAAGGAAGGATGGATGGATGGATGGAGATAGAGATAGAGATAAAACTATGACGTGTGTATATATACACATCATCAGCATCATAAATTTAAAGGCACTGGAGGATTCGAGTTGATAAAGAGAATACACAATCTTCGAGCTGGGAATATCCACATGAGCAGATAAGAGAGAGAGAGCACGAGAGCAAAGGCACTCAAGTGCAAGCAAGAAAGTAGTCACCTGGCAGCAAACCACAGGCAGAGAAAGAAAGTAGCAAGGTGAGCCATGTAGCAGTACTGAGAACAAATCAAACAGATTGGCCCTCCCAGGCAATAGTGAAAAATGAGGCTAGATAAGGTAAACCTTACAATCTACAAATGTACATGAATATGAAGCGTCAAGGATACCCTCTTACAAAGTCAAAACTGTTCCAACAAGCAGTACTTTTTTCTACAGGCATGTACCCAACATGAACTCATTGATTTTCCACTATATATGTAAATATCTATACTCCATGACCCATGAAACATAAGGTTTGGTTTGCTTTGTTTTGAAGGATATTCATTGGCTCTTGCTATGTTCCTATTAGTAGACTGCCTCCCCATCTCACGGGAAGGAAGAGCATGAAAAAGAACACGTTCAGTTTCTGTTCCCACCTATATAGGAGATAGATGATCCCAAGTGATGAGTTAGAGATAACCAACATTCAATGGCCCACAACCAGAGGAGTGACCCTTGCTTTGAAACACAGTAAGCTCCCACTATTTCTTTCTTCAGTTCCTCTGCATTCCTTGGCCTGACTTTACTCAGTGCAGTGTAGTGGGTGAATGCTCTTCCAACATATCCCTCTACAAACAGAGGTATAAGTAAAGGTCATTTGGGTCCCAAAGTCTATATTACAAAGGGACTCACATGGCCCTGACACATTCTCCAGTCCAGCCTGACTCTTCCTAAAACTGTCTGTATTCTTGTCTCTATCAAGCACCTTGTGTCCACTCTCAATTGATCAGGAAACCAAAGGGAAAAAGGAAGATCCCAGACCTACATCTGTAACCACAAAACACATACACATACACACATACACATACACACATACTTCATAAGTTTTCGTGTTGCAGTGTTCAAATACTATGAAAATTGCGTTGAACTTTTTTCCCTCACCTACCTGAAACCAAGCTGCTTCACCAAGGAAGAAAGCTTTTGACCAAACTGGTTTGAAGAACCGGGCAACCAGTACACCTATGCTAACAGTAGTCATCCATGCCACAAACATTAAGGCACCTACAAGTGAGATAAATGTAATAGTAGACCATCACAAACTAATCAAGCTGTTGCTTAAATGATGAAGCCAAATGCTCAGAAAACATAAACAGCCAGCAAAATACATTCAGCTGACATAAGTACAACCTAAATGGTGCTATACATCATAGTTTTACTACCATTACTCTTTTGAACAGCAAACACTTCTATAGCTCCTATTATGTGCTAAGTATTCTAAATGCTTTACATATACTAATTTAGTTGATCTTTACAACAATCCTATGATGTAGTTATAACTATTAGTCCAGTTTTGCTGAATGGGGAAACAAAGCCATAGAGAATTAAGTAGCTCTTCCAAGGTTACAAAGTTGGGATGCAAACCCTATCTGATTTCAGCAACTGTGCTCTTAACCACTATACTAATAAGTGCCTCTGCAGTTATTTCAAAAGCTTCTCACATCTCACTCCAAAAGGCAGTGAAAAACAAATAGGCATATTATTTCGGAATCCAATTACTACCAAACTGGAGCTACAACATGAGTAGAAGCAAATCAACAACAATAAAGTTACTTTCAAGCTTAACAGTGATGGCATTTATGGAAAACTTTACTGTAATGGATAACTCTGGAAAATATACAGGGAATAACCCAAATAAGGAAAGTTTCCCCCAAAACACTAAGAGTTTACAGTAGTTTAGTGTACACTACACTATTCCCATACTTTCAAATCCCATCTTTTTTAACAATAAGCCAGGCTAGTTTTCGAATGAAGTCAACTTTCATTTGTAGAACCAGAGTATATTAAAAGTCTTGGGTGTTTTGTTTTTTGTTTTTTGGGGGATGGAGTCTCACTCTGTTGCCCAGGCTGGAGTGCAGTGGTGCAAACTCGGCTCTCTGCAACCTCCACCTTCTGGGTTCAAGAAATTCTCCTACCTCAGCCTCCCAAGTAGCTGGGACTACAGGCGCGCACCACCATGCCTGGCTAATTTTTGCTGAGATTACAAAGTTTTTAGTAGAGACAGGGTTTTGCCATGTTGGCCAGGCTGGTCTCGAACTCCTGATCTCAAGTGATCCGCCCACCATACCCTCCCACAGTGCTGGGATTACAGGCATGAGCCACCGTGCATGGCCTAGAGCCTTGTTTTTAGGCTACTGTTCTTCCAACTTCATTCTATTCCTCATTTAGGTATTATATATGATGCCTAAGTATAGCACTAAGTACTTTGCGTGCTCTGAAATACTTGTACATTGATCAATGCAACAACAAAATTGTACCTCTGAAACCAAACTACTGTTATAATTAAACAATCAAAATCACAGGCCATTCTTTTATTAGCATTTATTTTAATAAATGGTAAAAATTTAGGTCTCATAAAAGTTAAATTAACCCAGTAACACTTGACCCTGGCTGCAGTTAGAAACAACTAGGATAGTTTTTCAAAATTATAGATGTCTTAAAAACTCCACTGGTGATTTTAGCGTGTAGTCAAGGTTAAATCCACTGAATTAGCCCTACTCTCCATTTTTAATGAAAATTAGCAAACATTAAGATAGATGATGCTCACCAACAGCTGTGTCAAAAAAAAAAAATAGACGCTGCTGCCTGCAAGTGTTACTGTTTAAACATAAAAGCTTTATAGGCTAGGCGTGGTGGGTCACGCCTGTAATCCCAGCACTTTGGGAGGCCGAGGTGGGCAGATCACGAGGTCAGGAGATCGAAACCATCCTGGCCAACATGGTGAAACCCCATTTCTACTAAAATTACACAAATTAGCTAGGCGTGGTGGCACACGCCTGTAGTCCCAGCTACTCTGGAGGCTGAAGCAGGGCAATCTCTTAAACCTGGGAGGCAGAGGTTGCAGTGAGCCAAGATCACGCCACTGCACTCCAGCCTGGTGACAGAAGAAGACTCCATCTCAAAAAAAAAAAAAAAAAAAAAGCTTTATAAAAATTAGCTACATTATACCCACAACCATGCCTAATCCAGCCAGCACTGAGTCCGCAGGTAAGTTGATTCCACAAAGTAGTTACACATGTAACCTACCATGAACCTTCAGAAGGAGTACAGAATGGGATCCTCCTATGTTCTTTGGAGAGTCTGTCACATCATATTTTTCATAGGTAATCAAAGGCTGCTGAGAGTGCTTGTAAATTCGACCTGCAAATTAGAAACAAAATTAAACCTGACAAAGAATAATTACCGCCTCAGATAAAAAAAGGAATTGAGATATGGGCAGGGCATGGCAACAAAATTTCTTAAGGTAATAAAAAATAATTAAATATCAACAGAGATGTCATTCATATGCAAAAGCAACATAAAGATATATGCAAGGGCACACAGCCTTCCTGAAAAAAGTTAAAGAATATAGCCAACCTAGAGATGAATTAAAATGAGAACTAGGAACAGAGAATGTATAGTAAAAGAATTGGTGATATAAAGAGATAAGTTAAATAATAAATTAAAATAAACATTGTTAATATGGTCACAAACCATTGAAAAATGTTTAAAAAAATATTGAAAGAGAATACATATTTTTTAAAAATCTACAAGCCATTGACCACCACCTGCATATAAAATCCTAGAATAAACTAACTGAAATTGGGCTGGGGGAAAGAGGATGGTTGGAAGACAAAGAAAAGCATTTTATGATATATTATTTCACACATGGTCAATTCGAACTAACAAACCAAAATTCCAAATAGTAGTGACATAAGCAAATTGAGGATACATTATTTTAATATTACCATTTATTGTGTACAAAATTAAATCAGTGAATGTATAGAATTATTCCAAATGTGTGTGGATCTGTGTGTGTTCTTTCTAGGAATCTATCTTAGCAAAGATATACGTAAGGAAAGTTTACAGCAATGTTTTCCATGCTGGCAAAAAAAAAAAAAGAAAAGAAAAAACACTAACTAAATAGTCATCATTAGGGGAATGAGTAAATAAATTTTGGAACATACATATTTTTAGAATACTGTGCTGCATCAAAAATAAGACATTTAATATAACAAATATAAATACATGAAACTTTGTCTAAAACAAATGATAAACATTAGACCACAAACTACATCTTAATAATTTCCAAAAGGAAATAAAAGGATACAGGTTATATTATCTGCCCAAAATGCAACAAAACTAAAAATTAACATTGAAAAGCTAGGGGGAAAATGGTCCACCTACATATTTATAAAACTACTCTTTTTAATAACCTTTGGATTAAATAAGAAATTAAAACTAAAACCACATGTCTTCATCAAGATGTATAGCAATAAAGACACTTCATAACAAAACATGTGTGATGCAATCAAGGTACTATTCAAAAAATGTTTTTATCATCTTAAAAGCATTTCCTAACACACACACACACAAATCATTTTATTCAAGGTGCATTTAAAGTAACAAAATATAACCTGGGAAACCAGAAAAAAAAGATCAATTAAAAACAAAGGTAGAACTTAAGCTAGTAACGCTAAAAATCAGAAAAGTCAATCCTCTAAAAGGATAATTAAAATCCATTGAGTTTTTAGCAACTCTGATACACAATAAAAGGAAACATCATAATGTTAGAAATTTAAAGGATGGCTGGGTGTGGTGGCTCACACCTGTAATTCCAGCATTTTGGGAGGCCGAGGCGGGTGGATCACGAGGTCAGAAGTTCAAGACCAGCCTGGCCAAGATGGTGAAACTCCATCTCTGCTAAAACTGCAAAAATTATCCGGGTGCAGTGGCAGGCACCTCTAATCCCAGCTACTCAGGAGGCTGAGGCAGGAGAATCGCTTGAACCTGGGAGGCAGAGGTTGCAGTGAGCAGAGATCCCACCACTGCACTCTAGCTTGGGAGATAGAGCAAGACTCCGTCTCAATTTAAAAAAAAAAAAAAAAAAAAAGGAAATTTAAAGGGTGACATAGCCGCCAATATGGAAAACAATTTTATATAAAAACATTGTATACAACTTTAAATCAGCCCCCAAAAATCTCAAAATCTAAACAAAATGGGTGAATTTGGGGGGAGAAATATAGAATTACAAAAACTGACCAAAGTAGTAGTAACCATGGAGAGTAATAACAATAAAAAAATTCTTTTTTTTTTTTTTGAGATAGAGTCTCACTCTGTTGCCCAGGCTGGAGTGCAGTGGCACGATCTTGGCTCACTGCAACCTCTGCTGCCCGGGTTCATGCCATTCTCCTGCCTCAGCCTCCCGAGTAGCTGGGATTACAAGAGCCTGCCACTGCACACAGCTAATTTTTGTGATTTTAGTAGAGACGGGGTTTCACCATCTTGGCCAGATTGGTCTTGAGCTCCTGACCTCCTGATCCACCTGCCTCGGCCTCCCAAAGTGCTGGGATTACAGGTGTGAACCACCACGCCCAGCCAAAAAATTCTTTTTAATTAGTCAAATATTTCCATCTAACATCCAGACTGTTATACGGGTGAGTTCTACCACACCAGTAAAATTTTTCCCTAATTTGTTTTTTTATTTTATTTATTTATTTATTTATTTATTTTTATTTTATTTTTTTATTTTTTTGAGGCAGCGTCTCACTCTGTTGTCCAGGCTGGAGTGCGGTGGTGTAATCATAATTCATTGCAGCCTTGACCTCCCAGGCTCCAGAGATCCTCCCACCTCAACCTCCGAAGTAGCTGGGACCATAAACGCACACCACCACGCCCAGCTAATTTTTGTATTTTTTGTGGAGATGGGGTTTCATCACATTGCCCAGGCTGGTCTCAAACTCCTGGGCTCAAGTGATCTGCCCAGCTCGGTCTCTCAAAGTGCTTGGATTACAGCATAAGCCACTGTGCCTCGCCTGTTAAAAATTATTTTTATTTAAACTCTTTTAGAGTTTACTCTATAAGTCTAGTATAACCCTGAAATCAAAACTACGCATGTGTACATTCACACAAGCACCCCACACATTCACGCAGTCACAACATAAACCAAAATCACTTATGAATATAGATGTAAAAAGCTTAAAGAAAACATTAGTAAATCAAATCAGTTATATACTAAGAGAATAATAAAACATGACCAAGTAAGGTTTATTCCAGGAATGTGAGGATAATTCACCATCCAGAAATCTATTAAAGTAACAATAAAATACCATCTCAATCACTGCCCTAAAGACATTTGATGAAATTCAGCACACAGTCATATGAATTCTTAGTAAAGTTAGAAACAGAAGAATATTTCCTCAACACTATAAAGGATATCCACAAGAAAAATACAACAAATAGACATTTAACACTGAATATCAGATGCATTTGCATCAAAATCAACAATAACCACAAAAATTCTTGCCACCTCATTGCTACCACTCTACATTATTCAGCAAGAACTAAACAATGCAATGAGACAAGAAAGAAAATGAGGGCTATTAATCTGTCATTATTTGCACAGGATATGACATTTATCCAGAAAAATCCAAAATAATCAACTGGAAAATTAGGAGGCTTAAATTTAAGATAAATATTCAATAATAAATAACTGTCCTATATGACAATATATTTACAAAACGTATGAAAAACAATCCCATTCATAATAATTTGCTTTAGAGAACTATAAAATACACAGGAACAAAGTAACCAAAAATATGTATATAAGCCCTATGAAGATACGTAGAAAACCATAAAATTTCATTGAAAGACACATATGCAGGTTTGGAATACATGGAATATCCCAGTGTGTTCCTGCATAGACAGGCTCACTATTACACAGAGTTATTCTCTAAATTGCTCTAAAATTGCATTACAATTTCAATCATAACCCCAACAGGGTTTTTAATAGAATTTGATAAATCAGCTTGAGCCAGAGAGTTGGGACAGCCTGGGCAACATAACGAGACCCCATCTCTATAAAAAATTAACTGAGAATGGTGGCACATGGCTGTAGTCCCAGCTACTAGGGAGGCAGAGGTGGGAGGATGGCTTGAGCCTGGGAGGTCAAGCTTCAGTGAGCCGTGATTGCACCACTGCACTCCAGCCTGTGCAACAGAGTGAGATCCTGTCTCAAATAAAAGAAGAATTCGACAAATTAGGTCTAAAGTTTATCTAGAAGAACAGATACACATGAAGAAGCAAAAATTCTTGAAAAAGAAGGCCAGAAGGGGTATCATGTTCTATCAAAACTCACAAACCTATTATAAAGCAACAGCAATTCTAACTAATGCAGGAACAGACAAACGTATCAATAGAAGAACAGATACACTAGAAATAATTCAATTTATTGATAGACTTTTAATGTATGATAAAGAGGCTTTTAAAGCAGTGAGAAAATGTGGACTATTCAAAAAATGGTGTTAGGACACCTGGTTACTCATCCAGTGAATACTATTTTACCATGGCTTGTTATAAGGCAGAAAATGAGAAAGAAGAGTTTTATATAATGAATGCCTAGAGAAGAGAATGTCAAGAAGAAAAAGACAATAACTGTCAGGAGCTACAAAAGTGTCAAAAAGAAAATGATCAAGAAAACTATCAAAAATGACAAGAAAGGCACTGGGGAAGCTAAAAATCCTGCATTCATTGAGTGGTAGTGATGAAAAAGAGACTCCAAGCCCAACAACCCTGAGAGACAAGTTGGAAGAAAATGTGTTTAAACTCTGAATCACTGTAGAGTCATGAACTAAGCATGAACTTAACCTTCATGAAAGCAGAAGTCCATTATGATTTCAGAATTCCATTGTGTGGCTCCATTATAATTTTGTAGTCTTGCTCAAAGGGAGTTCATGCTTAGTGCAAGAACCGGCAGTAATAGGTTACCTACAGTATTCCTAAATTCTTTAAGTAACAGATCATGTGATAGCTGTGTCTCTACTTCATTAATTATTAAAATTGGTAGATTTCCTCATTGTGAATTACTTAATTACCCAAGTGATTTCTATCTTTCAGTTTAAACACTCAGTATTTCACATGACTGCTTATCCCAAGACAGGATAATGTCAGCAACATGAAGAAAATAGCAGTTAGAAAAAGGTTTTAAATGGATAGACTGTTAGGAGACTTTATTGAAATTGGATACATTTTACATTTATATGGGTTACAGAGATTATATGATTGCTTTGAAAATTGGTTTAAACCTTACAAAGTCTTACTGCTTTTAAGCGGAATTCAATATATAAATGGTCCACAAGCATAAAGCTAAGTAATAGAAGAGGCAACGATTTATGTGATAACTGTCATTCGTTCCCCGGTACAAAAAGATTGGAAAATTCATTTCCAGGGATAGCAATCTCCAGGTTTGTTTATTGGAGTGTTTTGTTTTGTTTTTTGTGCTTTTCACTCTATCAGTAAAAAAAAAAAAAAAAAAAAAATTAGCTTGTGCTCCTAATATATGTATATTTTTGTTAATAAACAGATTCATGTTTATTGCATTATATTGTATTAATATCTATTACACCTAATACATATTGTATCAATATCTATTATATCTAATACATATTAAGATATTAATATGTATTAATATCTTATGTACACCAGCAGTCCCCAACCTTTTTGCCACCAGGGACCAGTCCAAGAGAGACAATTTTTCCATGGAAGAGGGGGAGGGATGGTTTTGGGATGAAACTGTTCCACCTTAGATCAAAACGCACTAGATTCTTATAAGGAGCACACAACCTAGATCCCCGACATGCGCAGTTCACAATGGGGTTCGTGCTCCTATGAGAATCTAATGCCACCGCTGATCAGACAGGACAGTAATGCTCACTCGCTCACCGCTCACCTCCTGCTGTGCGGCCCAGTTCCTAACAGGTCACAGACCAGTACCAGTCCATGACCTGTCAGTTGGGGATCCCTGACGTACACTATAAAACATATTAAAATATTTAAAATTTTAATGACAAAAAGTAAATCTAAACAAAGTTCTAGTATTGTTCCCTGTATCCCTTGGCCTGCCTTGCAATGTGCATAGCTTACTTGGGAAAACCCCATCCTAGAGCAGTAAGTTATCAAACTACAGCATACATAAAACCACCTGGGATGCCTATTAAAATGCAGATTCCATGCACCAACAAAAGAGACTCAGTGGGTCTGAGATGGAGTTCAGGAATCTGCACTGCTAGCAGTCACTCCAGGCGGTTCTGAAGCACATTAAGCCCCACATTTGGAGAAACACCACAGAGAAGTCAAGGCAGAGATTCTCCCTCCCATGCCATCAGCACAGCAACATCAGTTGGCAAGGGAGGGGGAACAATTCTCTATTTTCACATGGATCATCCATTAACTAGGTGTTTCTGAGGGAGTGTTAGAACTATCATTTAAAAGAAAACATGTTCTGATTTCTATGTTGCTAACCTATGAAGAAACATGTGTGCTGTATACCCACACATATAAAATTTATTATACAACAGAATTCCTCCATTTAAATGAAATAGTTTTTCTCTAAAGTATATTTTAAGTATAAAACTTTAAAAAGTATAAACCACTAAATCGTCTAACAATTTAAGAAATCCATTTGCATCAATAATCATTTATGAAGCATCTATACATGTTGGGCGCTGATATGGTTTGGTTCTGCGCCCCCTCCCAAATCTCACTTTGAATTGTAATCTCCATGTGTTGGAGGAAGGGCCTGGTGGGAGGTGACTGAATCATGGGGGAACACTTTCCCCTTGCTGTTCTCGTGAAAGTGAACGAGTTCTCAGGAGATCTCATTGTTTAAAAGTGTGTGGCACTTCCACCTTCACACTCTCTCTCTCCTGTCACCATGTGAGATGTGGCTACTTCCCCCTTGCCTTCTGCCATGATAGTAAGTTCCCTGAGGCCTCCCCAGCCATGCTTCCTGTACAGGCTGTGGAACTGTGACTCAATGAAATCTATTTTCTTCATAAGTTACCCAGTCTCAGGTAGTTCTTTACAGCAGTGTGAGAATGGACTAACACAGACACCAAAAGAAGCAGTCTGATATTAAAGAAAGGATACAACTTTTATCATTGGAAGCAACCTGGGTTTAATTTCTGACTCTGCTACTTGTTTGATTTTGAACAAGTTGCTTGGCCCTACTAGGTCCCAGTTTCCTTATCTCTAAAAAAAAGCAACAAAATACCTACATACAAAGCCTCTGTGAGAAATAAAAGAGATACATGTAATATGCAACAAGTGATGGCTGCAATCATAACAATGCAATGACCTGCACTTTAGTAGTAGCTGTTTAAAACACAAATACTTGACCTTTTCCTTATTGAAAGTTAATTCCCTACATTTTCCATGTTCTTTTTATTTTTGAGACAGGGTCTCCCTCAGTTGCCCAGGCTGGAATGCAGTGGTGCAATCATAGCTCACTGCAGCCTCTACCTCCTGGGCTCAGGCAATCCTTCCACTTCAACCTCCCAAGTAGCTGGGACCACAGATGCACACTACCACACCCAGCTAATTTTTTTTTTTTTTTTGAATAGAGACCAGGTTTTGCCATGTTGCCCAGGCTGGTCTGGAACTCCTGGGCTCAAGCAATCCACCTGTCTTGATCTTTCAAAATGCTGGGATTATACGCATGCGCCACGGCACCCAGCCCATTTCCCATGTTCTAAAGTACTGAATACATAGGCTCTAAAGGCCAAATTCCAACTGCATCGTTTACTTGTCTGGGCAAATTACTTCACCTTTCTAAGTCCAAATTTCCTCCTCCAAATAATAATAGTACATTTCTAGCTTGTATTTTATGAAGATAAAAATGAAGAATCTATCTAAAATGCTTAGCCACTGACTCGCATTCAGTAAGCACTGAGTAATTTTTACTCATTATTATCAAGCCATATTAAGAAATTATTACTCACATTAAGAATTTTTTACTCATTATCAAGCCATATTAAGAAATTATTACTCATATTAAGAAATTTTTACTCATTATCAAGTCATATTAAGAAATTATTTTCAAGCCATATTTGGTGTTGCTGGTACAAACAAGAGTAAACGATTTGACTAAGGTAACTACATGTGTCGCCTATATCTAAATCTAAAAATGTTCCTTTAGCATTCTTCCTTCACCTAAAAAAATAAATAAAAACAAGCAAGTTAATTAATTTAAATGTTCCTAAATTTTAACATTAAACAGATATTTTATCCTGCTTCAAAACTTTTTGAGAGTCTGCTTTACCAAGATTAAAAAGTCTTAAACACATGATAGAATTGTAGGCTTTTCACAATTTGCCTGTATCACATTTCCTGTTCTTCCTTTCCTTTACCCCATCCCTGTCTCTCTACTGTAGACATCTACCTTCTCACCATTTTCAAAGTGGGCTGTATTCTTAAAGTTCTGGCGCAGTGTTATCTCCTAAGAGATGAGTCATTAAATACAACATTGGCGTTTCCTGCAGTTCCTCAAAAACCATTAGCCAAGACCTCAAACAAAATCGAATTATTCCTATTAATATGTGTTGCAATATCCACCAGGGTAGCCTTCTTGAGAATAAAGATTCAGACTCATAAAACTACATTAGGCTGTACTTGGCATCAGAGTCATGTAGAAAGATGTGAGACAGGAAACATACCACACCCAGGGCAGTGGGAGGCATTCTCCCCTCAATGGGAGGTCTCACAGCAGCTTACTCAGCTGTCCAGGAGCTATTCTCTCTTTCCCCTCCCCACCTCCCTAGAGAAAGCTCAGGTCTAAGGACATGAGATTCATATTGGGCAAGTTTCCCCACAGGAGCCAATATCTCTTGCAACAACCCCAAAGGTACCGTTTCTAGGTCCCCTGCAATGTTAATCTACTATCACTACATTCAGGGAAGCCCAAATAAATGGCTTCTTATTAGGTATTTATAGTTCTTCTGGTCACACGCATTTTACTAATCAGAAGCCATTTTGACCATGAGCAGTGTTGTCTTATAACACACTGGACACTCTACCACTAGTTTCCAGCAAAATTTTTCTTCCTTTATCCAGTTTCTGGCAAATTTTGACATTTATAGGAAAGTGTGTGCCTTAAAAATGGGCAATTACAGTAGTTTTTCCAAAAATGGGGGAAAGAGAGGGAAGAAGAGAGAAAAAGAAAATACTTGAAAAGACAGCTTGACAATATACTTACCATCATTAGCTGCACCATCTGCTAGAAATATATAATAGCTTGTGTTTAGATCAAATCTATTCTTAACTCCAGGAAGGGTAATGTTTCTTCTGAAAGAACACTGCATAACACCATCCACCAACCTCCAAGCCATATCCTCAAGGGTATCCTATAAACACACACAATGGGTCTTCTCAGCACTTTCCAAAGATTTGCTAAAAATAAGATATGATCAAAATCCTGCCCTGTTCAGTTTCCTTTCTCTAGATCATATGTGCATGCTTTGTCTGCAGTGTCATTGTTTTTCCACTTCCGCTTTGAAGAGAACAAGAAACATTTTCTCTCAGTTTGTCTTTATCCCATTTGGCAAAAAGAAAAAATATTATTTTTACTTTGAGCCAGAACCCCACAATTCCTCTACCTAGGTTAGAAATTTTAGCAGATGTACTAACTCCATCTGGCCACGAGTATACAATCAAAAACACTGAAAAAAAACAGTTAACGAGTACTACTCTAGTGGCCAAAATGCAACATGTAACTGGGGAGAAGTTCAAACCAGCCATGGGAGTCAGCCCCATGGGAAAGCTGTGCACAGTTATGTCATTGAATGACAGCTACTGCTCAGTCAGAGCTCATTTGCTCTGTCATTAAGTGATAGCTACTGCTCTTTCAGAGCTCATTTGCTTGTCAACTGTCCTGCAAAAAGGACACTTTTGTACCAGAAATAGCCCACCTTCAATACACATGCCAACAAAGGGCACTTAAGACAACTGTCCAAGGCATCTCCAGCCTTCGCCAAATGTGCTCCTCTTTCTCACTAGTCAAGAAATTTTGTCACTAATGTCATCCTCTTCTTAGAAACCTGTCTGTAAGCTTTTGAAAGGAAGCTGATGCCCTGACCATCTTAATAAACCACAAAGTACTTTTTTGTGAGATAACAACCAAAAGGATGGAAGTGACACAAGCAAGAATTCATGTTTTCCTACAAGAGAAACTTCTGAAGTGTAGAAAAGTTTCTCAGATATCATTACGAGGGGAGCCCTGCTGGCAGGCCCCCGCTCAGGCTAAGTGTAACTGTGGGGGTTGGAGGCGATCTAGTAGCACAGCCACGCCAGTGATAGCCACACAGCCGGAAAGCGAGTCTCAGGTGGAGGTTCCAGAATTTTCACACCTACCCTGGAGTCCATTACAGGGTGACTTCGCCCCGTTAAATGGGAAGGCTGGATGTACACAGTCTGATCTTCATGAATACACAGGTAAGCATCATCATCACCCTGAAAAACAATTGTGAATGAGAAAAAAAAAAGTTCAAAGGAATTTCAGCATTTTATTTTCTTTTTTTAAAAAAGTACCTCAGGAAACCAAGTATTATTTGATGCTTTTAAAACATAATTTATTGAATCGTGAATGATGCTATGAATTCTAGAGAATTGGTTGTCTAATTTGCGAGTTGCAAATAATTTTGTTATAATACAAAAGGAATAGAATTTCAGTGTAAAATAATAGATTAAGATAGATATATAACATGTTTATATGTTCATAAACCCATCACTAATCGAACACCACTTTAATATTTTCATGTATATTCATCCAAACCTATTTGTATTATACCTATTTTTTCCTTCCCAAATGGGAAAATACAGAGTTCTGTTATCTTTTTTCAATTAACTTACCATAACCAATATTCCAAATATTTATTTATTTATAAACATCTATATCCTACACACTTTAATGACCAAATACACCGCATTGTACTGGATATTTTTTGGTAACTTCTAAGATGGAAGACAATGTAAAGAAATATTGCTACACAGTGTACATATTCAATAGATTTAATGCTATATAACTGAGGTAAAAATACCTGTACTCAAGGAGGAATTAGTCTACCTCTTACCTATCCTTTAGTCTCCAAGAATTCTTAACTCTGAAAGTTAGATCTTATTCTTTAAAGTGATAATCAAGCCAGGCATAGTGACTCACAGCCATAATTCAAGCACTTTGGGAGGCCAAGGAAGGAGGATTTCTTGAAGCCAGGAGTTAGAGATCAGCCTGGGCAATATGGTGAGACTTCGTCCTAGAAAAAATTTTTTTAAAATCAGCCAAGCATGGTGATGCATGCCTGTGTTCCCAGCTACTCAGAAGGCTAAGGCAGGAGAATCACTTGAGCCCAGAAGGTCAAGTCAGCAGAGTGCCATGATCATGCCACTGCACACCAGCCTGGGCAACTAAGGGAGACCTTGTCTCCAGAAAATAGAAATAAAATAGAATAAAATAAAGTGATAATCAAAAAGCAGACTGTCACTTAATAGGGGAAAAAAGAATGAAAAAGAATACCAAAAAAAGAAGCAGACTGTAACTTCAAAGTACATTTAAACAATGGTACAAAGGAATAATCTTGATTTTAAGTTATTGTCCATGGTTTGGTCTTTCACTTGGTTTCTCCATAAACTATCTAACAAGGTTCTTTATGTGGGTTAGTCATCCAGTTCCTTATACAAGGTCCAAGACTACCCAGTTATAACAAATCTTGTTATAAATTCCAATATTAGATTCTAACATATTTCTATACTTTCAGATTCAACTTTATTTTTAAATGTTCCACTTTTGAAAACTCTCAAGGATATACTCTTAGCAAAGCAATTATGTACTGTTACACATATTACAGTAAAATCAGAATTAGCCCAATTCAAGATAAGAAATTTGGAGCAATCATGACTTAAACCAGGAGTCAACAAACTATGGCCTGCAAATCAAATTCAACCTAGAGCTTGTTTCTATACAGCTCATAGTTTAAGAATGACTTCTACATAATTAAGTGGTGAAAAGAAGAATATTTCATGACAAATGAAAATATATCAAAACTGAAATTCAATGTCCATGTTTCATTGGAACACAGCCACATTTATTCATATACATATCATCTATGGCTGCTTTCATACTACAACAGAGTTTAGTAGCTACAACAGAGACCATATTGCCCACAAACTCTAAAATAGTTACTATCTGGTCCTTATAGAAAACGTTTTCTGAACCCTGATTTATTTTTTATTTTTTAAAAAAGTAGAGATGGATTCTCGCCCTGTTGCCCAGGCTGGTCTTGAAATCTTGGGCTTAAGCAATCCTCCTGCCTCAGCTGCCCAAAGTGATGAGATTACAGGTGTGAGCCACCATGCTAGGCCTGAACCCTGATTTAAACAATGCATGTTTTCTAGAATATCATGAATGAGACATAGAAATTCTTTTGTTACATAAAAAAAATTAATACAAATAATGATTGATTTGAGGCAAACTGAGGATAAGAAAGCAAATAAAATCAATACAAGTAGACCTCCCAAATAATGGAGAAGATGATGGGGATAGAGAGCAGGTAACTCTCAGTCCTCACTATTCCAAATGAAGAGTAAGTGAAGGTGCTACTGCAACCTCCGGCTCCAGGCAGTTCTAGAAACCTCAAGTTTGAAAGCATAAAAGTACACCATATAAGAACTTCCACCAAATCCCTGGGTTTTACTGAAGCTCTCTCCCCAGTTTCCTCTCTCAAGTCAAGCATTTAGAGAGCATCCTATGAGAAAACATTATGCTGGACACTGTGGGAGAAACAAAGATGACTTTGTTATAAGAATATGGCTCTTACAACCTAAAGCTATGTTTTAATGAGGCAGACAGATAGAGTAAGTGACACAAAAAGACAAATTATGTATGGCCAGAGAATTGAAAATGGCTTACCAGAAAAGAGAGTAATTAAGCAGACCTTAGAAGATAAAACATATTTATAGGAGGACAAGGTAAAGATGATATTAAAGGAAAGGTTTTCCAAGTTGAAGAACTTCTAGGACCAATGATATGGAAATATGAAAATTTTAAGAAACAGCTAGTTTTGCTAGCTAAAATACGTAAAGGATAAAAAGAAAGCTCTAAGGCTGAAAATTCCAGAAGTATTCCCAAAGTAGTGAGCACCATGCTTTAAGAAAAAGAATAGTTTTTCTATAATTACTGAAGTTTTGCCAAAGGTTTGGAGGGATATTTTTGAGACAATTTTTTTTCTTTTCCTTTTTTTTGAGACAGGATCTTGCTCTGTCACCCAGGCTGGAATGCAGTGGTGCAAATACAGCTTACTGCAGCTTTGACTTCCTGGGATCAAGTGATCCTCCCACCTCAGCCTCCCAAGTATCTGGGACCACAGGTGCATGCCACCAAGCCCAGCTAATTTTTTATGAATTTTTTGTAGAGATGAGGGTCTCGCCATTTTGCCCAGGCTCATCTTGAATTCCTGGGCTCAAGCAATCCTTCCACCACAGTCTCCCAAAGTGCTGGGATTATAGGCATAAGCCACCACGCCCAGCCAAGACGATCTTAAATGTGGCTTGGGGAGAAAATTCCAATGGCTGTATGAAGGATGAAATGGAAGAAGAAATCATGGAAGCAAGGGGACTAATGACAGGTTACTGGAGCAGTCCAGGAAGCAGACAGTACAGCTATAAGCCAAATCAGAGATAGTGACAATGCAATAAAGAGAATGAAAGAGGTATGTCAAAGATAGAATCAGAAGTACCTGGGAGATCAGTAGCAATGAACATATTAGCACCCAAATCTTGATTTCTAGGTACTATTCCTACTAAAAGGAAATAAAGTCCTTTTGAGAAATGATGAAATGCATGAAAGTATGAATGGAGAACATTTTGTTACACCAGAAACAAAGATACGCTCAAAAGTGGTAGAGACATCAAAAGGGCAGAGAAGCCTGCTTGAAAGGGCTCCCATTGGCCACATTTGGGTCAATATGACCCTCTAAAAGAATGAATGGTGGTAACGAACTACAACACAATGGACAAAAGAAACCCATTAGTCCATAGTGTTACTATAAAAGGGAAGGGTAAGTGTAGAGAAAAAAAAACTCGTATTTTCATAAAAACATCAGCTAAGAAGTAAGTTAGAAGATCAGCATTTTGCAACCACAAATGTAACAACTGATTCATACGAGAAACATCAATAAATGCAAAAACCTAGTTACAGGCTATTGGGGAACAGAATATTCATACAGACTCAAAGTATCATCCCACATATTACTTATTACAAAAAGAAAATAGACTTCATGGTACAGAAATCTGACAGACACCAGTGATCAAACATAGTATCATCAATAATAGAACAATTGGACATTACGAAACTTTCGAAATAATGCACTGATGTGGAAATAATATCCCTTATGTAGCATTTGTGCCAAAAAGTCTTAACACAAATCTATTATATAAATTGTAGAATATTCTACAAATAACTGGCCTGAATTTAATTTATAAAAAGGAAAAAGGATAAAATAACTGTTCTGAAGTAAAGGAGATCCAAGAGATATAACAACTAAATGCCCTGAGTAATAACTGATTGGATCCTGAATAAGAAATATTTTTAAAAAACAAAGGACTTTATTGGGACAACTGGGAAAACTGGAATACAGATTGTATGTTACATAAAAGTATTATATCATTATTAAATTTTCTTAATGTGATAAAAATATTGCGGTAATTGTAGAATGCCCATGTTCTTAGGAGACACATGTTGAAAACCTTAGAGATGAAATGTCATGATTACCTATAATTTACTTTCAAATAATTCAAGACAAAAATATGTATTTATATACACCACATAAATCAACTGAGATAGATGGAAATAGAGAGACAAAGTGGCAAATCTAGGTGAAGGACTTATGGGTGTTCATTGTACTATCTTCTTAACTTTTATTGAGGTTTAAAACTTTTCAAAACAAAAAGTTGGAAATGGCAGGAGGAAGGATCTGAGAGATGGATGAAAGGAAGGAATCCAAGTCACAACCAACATTTCTCTGAATACCAGAGAAGATGCTGGCAGCAGTAAATGAGGTGTTTATAAACTGCCTAGGACAGCACCCAACAAGAAGCAAGCCATCGACAATGGTAGCTGCTTTCCTGACATTGCTGATCACCAAGAATGGGGAAGACAAGGAGACATCAGGAGGCATAATAAAAAGTTCAGTCTTTTAGATGTTGCTTTGTGCTGTCCAGGAACATACATCTGGATGAGACCAGCCTGCAGCTGGAAATCAAAGTCTGGAGTCCAAGGGAGTTCAGGATTGGGGACATCCTGGAATTGGGGCATGGAGAGATCATGTATGGAGTAAGATGATAAAGCACAGTGGAAGGAGAAGGAAGGAAGCTAATAATGTGCATACTTGATAGACTTTACATTATTTAACAAAATATCTCAAATAGGAAAGAGGCATGTACAGTACATCTTCAATTAAAGTCATAGGCAAGTTCTTGAAAACTGTGACTTTAAGCAAAACAACATACAACATGGCCAATATTTTTTTCCTCATCAATGTCATAACAAAACGATATTGAAGGAAATGATATTATTCAAGGGACTGCTGTATGTAGCCTCACTTAAAGTTAGAGGCTCCAAGAACCTATTGACGACATTAAGTAAGGACTTATTGTACTTGGAAATTCGGTTAAAATTCACACATTAGCAAGTCATTATTATCAGAAATAGGGTAAATTACACATTTTGATTTTAGTGATGAGGTCTACTATACCAAAATAATTGCTAACATTAATTTACAAGCCAAATTGAAAACGGGTATAATTTGGGTTATCGAATGAGTATTCGTGACATCAGATACCTTCAGTATTTAAATTTACATTATACACTCCAAAGGAATAGCAGGTCACAAAAATACCCGAAAGTTTCAAAAGCATAACCAAAAATAGAAATAACCACTTAAAAAATATATTTTGAGGATGATTCATTTCCCCCAAGTTAGGCAAACAGGTGTACAGATTATTTTAATCATTAAACAGGATTGCTTTGTAAATCAACTGCACCTGCGTAATTAAGTCTTTTTTGTAAACATTTTTGATGAGTACTATACTGGAAACAGATAAGATTTCTAAGTAAGATAAATATATCTTGAATTAGAGATAAATGCTTTTGTGCCATCAATGCCTACAATTTAGAACAGAATAACTGACCTACCTGTGGGCTACTCATTACCATACTGAATGCAGTAATAGTCTTTCCCTCTTGCTTACAGGTTTTATGTAACCAGTAAAAGGAAATGTATCCACACACTATGGCATGAATTTTGGCTATAAAGTGACTGGAATAAGTTGGGTGTTTGGTTTTTGGTTTTTTTGTTTTTTTTTTAAGTGACTAGAGCATATATCTAAATGAGTGCTGTAACTCAGAGATGAACTTTAATTAAAATATACATTCATTCAACAGGTTAATCCTTTTTGGACTCATTTTCAGAATTTCCTTTCTAGCCAATTTTATCACATTCACATGACAGCAGCACTACCACCACCTATCATTATTGCTTTATAGTCACATTTTATTTTTAACTCAACCTCATTCACCTTATATACTAAATGTAGTTCATTTTTACCAACACTAAGAATATCCAAAAGAACATGCTACAGTTCTGATGGCAATCACAAAAGGAAGTGGGAAAAATGTTTTGAACAATCACTGCATCAGCTGAGCAAGTATAAAATTCCCTATACAGGCAACTTGGAAGGGGAAGGATTCATTATTTCTTATGTTTTTTTTTTAAGTACATGATATCTTTTGTATCTCATAGACTTAAGGTATATCTTTTGTTGAATGAAAGAGGATGGCAAGTGCATTCCAGAGGTGTCTAGCGAAATATGTAGGTCATGCATACATACTGAAATGGTATCCTATTAAAGAAAGTTAGTTACATCCAGCGTCCTACAATACTTGCAAACGCTGCTCCAGGACCAATGTGATCAAGAGTATTTTCAGGATAAGCATTAGTTCTTCTATTACAGCCATGTCAGAGTTCCTTTTCTTTTTCTGAAATATGATTCCCTAAAGAGGTGGTGTTAAGTTTAAATCCTGATAAGAAGAAAACCCTCAGGACAAGACCCCTTGCCTGTGTTAATAAGGGGCTTTCTCCATTTCTGGTCATCCCTATGCCCCAGGCCCACTCTGCTTGAACAGGACTTATATGTGTCCTGGCCACAATACTCTTCCTGCTTCCTAGGAAACCGAGGTGCTTATGCGGGCCTCTGCTCTTCCACACCACAGCACAAGGCTGCCACCTACAGAATCACTGAATCCATTTCAGCACTACCCAGGGTGAGTGAGAATCGGCTTAAAATAAATGCTGCCTTCTGCTGATTTGACAAAGGAGCCTACTGTAATACATGCCGCCTGGATATACAAGTTTAATTCTCTGTTTAGGAAATGCACTGATGACTACTAAAATAGGACACCAAGAGCAGGAACACATGCTTTAGTTCTGGCCACGTGAATAAATAATTCTGGTTTGAAAAGCATTACAAAAAACACGACATTTTGCATAGAAAAACTTTTCTTAACTGTATTTCCTGCTTTATCGCAAAGAGATAGACATATAAAATAGCAAATACACTGGAAATAAAATGATCTTCCTAACTTTCCTAAGGACAGCCTGTTCTTGGAAGTAATTATCAAACTGTTAAAATCACACAGTACTCAAAGCTGTTTAACTTAGAATCTGTTCTAAGTTAGTTTCTCCTTTCTTATTCCACCCTTATGTATGATCATTTGACCCTGGAACAAACAGCTTCAGTGATTCTCCTTTTGGTTTTTGGGGGGTTCTTTTGGATTTTTTTTTTTTTTTTTTTTTAGATGGAGTCTCGCTCTGTCACCCAGGCTGGAGTGCACTGGCGCAATCTTGGCTCACTGCAACCTCTGCCTCCCAGGTTCAAGTGATTCTCCTGCCTCAGCCGCCCAAGCAGCTGGGATTACAGGCACCCACCATGACGCCTGGCTAATTTTTGTATTTTTAGTAGAGATGGGGTTTCACCATCTCGGCCAGGCTGGTCTTGAACTCCTGACCTCGCAATCCACCCTCCTCGGCCTCCCAAAGTGCTCGGATTACAAGCATGAGCCACTGTGCCCAGCCGTGATTCTCCTTTTGTTACCACTTATGTAAGTGAGAGGTACCAACCATCCATTGGTCATGAGACAATGCAAAGGATAAATAGCCTTTACTGGGGCCACTCATTTCAACCATCACCGATTGGTCATCTCTTGTGAAGGATAAGAAGACACAGGAAGCCTCCTTCTCTGGGTCACAGTTCAAAGGACTCCTAATACAGAACTTCTTGTTCCCACAATCTGAGGCACTGAACTAGAAAAATGACAGAGGAAAAAAAATCTTAATTATCAAACAAGCAGTTCATTGGCAATGACAGAAGAATAACTACCTTCAAGTACGGGTAGCTCCCAAATTAACGAGAATACCTTTCCATAATAAGCATTCAAATGGAAACAAAAGACACATCCCAAATTAAAAATGATCGGAGCAGTAGTTAGGTTATGAACTTTTAAACTTAATTAATTTTAATTAAAATTTGGAAAACATACACTTGTTGGACTGTAATTGTTCAAGACTATTAAAGCTCCTGTAATACACAAAACATTTCACATTAAGTATGTTTTGGAGCAAAGTTTCTGATAAGTTTTGAGAAATTTTTGAGGTAATATTTCAGTCCCTAAGACTTAAATGACACTAACATTCCTGCCTAAAGGGTATCCTCTAATTCTCAGAGATGAAGTTTTAAAAAGCAACAAACAAAACTTAGCAAGTTATTATATTTAGATTGTGGATTCTGCTTCTAGAATTCAGATTCAAATTTCATACTAAAATTATATAAGAAAAAAATGGTTGCCCCAATTTACCAGCATTCCAAATAACCGTAGTGATTTATTGGGGGAGAAATTAGCAACAATCAGATGACTTAATCCAGAGCTTCTTGATAGGGAAAATAAGACAAAGAGTCTTAGAAAAAAACAAACAGCTGTATAATCAGACTTTGTTCGAATGAGCTGTGACAGTAAATCTCAGAAGAGATCTAAACATTATATAACTAGAGTTCATGGAAATGTAAAGCCAGATCATACTAGGGTGAAGAGAACAAGCCACTGGGGACTAAGAAACTTGGACTTTGATCTCTGCTCTCCCCTTCCCTACATCATGTTTGCCAAAGGACTTGTTCTTGTTCTCTCAGGATCCCTGAACCTTCAACTACACAACAGGAAAACTGTAAGAAATAGACCCTAAGGTACCTTCCAGCTCTAAACATGCTATAATCCTTTAACTCTGAATGAACTTCCCTATAATTAGAGATTATAAACATGGCACAAAGACACAATAAATGTTCCAACAAGAGCTTTTTATTGAATATATGGAAAGATAACAATAATGTCAACCGATTCCTACTGGGAAGCCCAGGTCCAAACTGACTGTGTATTTCCCTAAAGCAGCTTTTAATTAAATAAAGCATTAAGCCTAAACTGAGAGCTAGTACAAATAACAGATCTAATTGCATGGTCAAACAAAAGTACAACAATCATAATAATGTAATTAAACATAGTGCTCATATGCTATAAGATGTTGAAGAGAAGAAAAATAAAATAAGGAGCAAAGTGCATTACTTTGTCTTCTCTATGCGAATAAAAAGGTACAAAAGGATAATAAAAGGAAGGAAAAAGTAAAGGAACTAATGTTTACCAAATATCTATTAAATGCAAGACACAGTTCTAGAAAACGTGCATTCATTATTTTGTTTAATTCTTACAGTGATATTAAGAGCTAAATACTATTACATCTCTTTCTCTAGGTGAGGAAACTGAGACTGAAAATTAAGTAATTTGCCTAAAGACACACAAAAATTAAGCAAGTCAGTATTTAGACCCACGTTTGTTCTTTCAACTGAAACAACCTGCCTCAACATGTTTTTTTGTTTGTTTGTTTGTTTGTTTTTTGTTGTATCCACTTCTGAATTAAGAAGTCTAACTTATCAGAATTTCCTGCAGTAAAATCCTTCTTCCTAATGTTTCTAATATGGATAACACTTTCCAAGATATTTCTTGTCAATCATAAATCTTTTGAATCGGAGGGCCCAGATGAAATTACAACTGATGAATTTACAAGAGATTTTCTGTTGTTCAGCATATACAATTCCCTAGGACTCTTTGACCTTAATGAAATGAGATCTAAGAGTTATATTACCACTTTAAGAATCTCCTCCAAATCTTGTCTAAATTTAACTTAAGCTCTTTGTTTGATATCTGGCTGTGTTTAAAAGAAGAAAAAAAAGAAAGAAAGAAAGAAAGAAAGAAAAAAAAACTATTGCTTCATCAGAGTTATTTTCAAATGAAAACATATCCACCACCAGTAGAGACTACAGGTGAATGCCATGACCACACCTTGAACATGCAGGGTCTTGCTTTCCTTTCATTCTAACCTATAAGTCATAAGGTTGCAATGAAGGCTTCCTTCAGATTCCTATAGAGGACCCAAAAACATGCTACCACTATGCAGCACAGCTTCTTCTCTGCGCACTTCACCACACAAAGCACACAGAACCACAATTTCCAACCACAAATTTACCTCTTTGCTCACATAGAGAAAACTAAGTACAGTACTTTACTCCTATGTAATGTCTTATTTTGTTTACCTTCTCTTCTGTATTTTATAACATATGGATATTATATTTGGCTACATATTATTTAGATTGCATTTAATGAAGCTATAAAAATGTTATTTAAGCTGGGCACAGTGGCTCACACCTGTAATCCTAAACACCTTGTGACTCCAAGGTAGGAGAATCACTTGAGTTCAGGAGTTCGAGACCGGCCTGGGCAACATGGTGAAACCCCATCTCTACAGAGAAAATAAAATTGTTACTTACTGGTTTGGTTAAGTGGGAAGCTGGAGGTAATGTTGGCAAAGGTACTATTGTGGCTTTAGGTGGGAAATGCATTTGGTTGTGAAATTATAGGACCAGGAATCTTCACCCAGTAGATTTTGTACTTCTCAACAACTGTGACTCTGAAATGCAATACCAGTGAGATTAGAACCCTCATTGTGTCCTGTCACAATCAGATCAAAACATTAAAGGGAAAAAAAAGAGAGACTAAACTAGAAAAACATGACTTACTACCTACCAGGACTATTAATTTTGTCTGAGGCAAATCTCTAACCACTCTTTCCCACCCCATCACTTGATAAATTTGTATTGCTTTCTCTCCCTCTGTCCCTCTTTTCTTACTTGTCTGTTTTGGGGGCATATTCCAATAGCCGTGATGTCAGACCCAGGGACAAAACTGCACAGATTTCTATTTCCTGGCATATGAAGAACATATTACTACTCATTTCAGAGTGCAGTATTCAATTCTTCCAAAGGGCATGTGTAGCAAGCAACTACAGCAAGAAGCTGTAATAGAGGCTGCATCGGTAACCATCAGCTTTCACTGGGGTCACATCCCCTTTTTCACATTCCACCTAACATACCGGGGCAGAGTTGTGCTACTGTGTGTTGGGGACCTATGCACAAAGTGAAGAAAACAGATATGTCAGGATAGCAATCCTTCCCTTAAAATATATGTCCATATCACTACTCAGGAATCATCACAAGGCATTATAACATTCCATTTCCCCTTGTATGTAGGATAAGGAAGAAGTACTGTTTTAATTCTACTGAGTTTCATAATTCTGAGAGGCACGCAGTCTTATCTGAGAGTCTAATCTGCAAGTTGTAACACTGCAAAAGAGTCATCCAAATTTCAGGGCTTCCATTTGTATTCTCATGCTAATACAGGAGTAAGTCTAATAGTAGTGTTATATAACATAAAGACTCAAGTATTAATTGATAGCTCTTATTAGGATTAAGGCCTTGCAAGACTTCATTCACTCAACAAATGTCTATTAAGTGCCTATTTGGTGTCAGGTCCTGTGCTAGGTGCTAGGTATACACTGGTAAAAAGCAAAACAAACTCCTACATCAGGAAGGTGGTATTATTACTATACCAAAGCTCTCCTACATGGGTGAGTGTCCAATAGGTACAGAAAATGATACATACTAATTATAGTTTCAGTTATACTAATAGTTACAGAGTTGTAAACTCTTTTTTTTTTTTTTTTAAGAGATGGGGTTTCACCATGTTGCCCAGGCCAGTCTCAAAGCCCTGGGCTCAAGTGATCCACTGCCTTGGCCTCCCAAAGTGCTGGGATTATAGGCAGAAGCCACCATGACTTGCCCAGAATTATAAACTCTTATACTCACAGAAACTGTGTGTGATTTGGAGCACTGCTTGGAGCATTCCAGTAGACTTTAACTTCTGTTTTTTTAGATGCACTTCTGTGACTCACAGCTGATCCCTGAAATAAAAGGGAAAAGAGCTACCATTCAGTCACTCAATAGCTCAGCATGGCTGGAACTTCCATCATTTTGCAAAGTAATTTATCGTTGCATGACATAAGCATTCTGGTGAGGACTATTTTATTTAGAAGAAGGACTCGGCCGGGTGCGGTGGCTCACCCCTGTAATCCCAGCACTTTGGGAGGCTGAGGCGGGCGGATCACAAGGTCAGTAGATCGAGACCATCCTGGCTAACACGATGAAACCCCATCTCTACTAAAAATACAAAAAATTAGCCAAGCATGGTGGTGGGTGCTTGTAGTCCCAGCTACTCGGGAGGCTGAGGCAGGAGAATGGTGTGAACCCGGGAGGCAGAGCTTGCGGTGAGCAGAGATCGCACCACTGCACTCCAGCCTGGGTGACAGAGCGAGACTCCGTCTCAAAAAAAAGAAAAAGAAGGATTCAGGCACTCCATAAATGAAATGTTGATTGGTTGACAATATATTAGCAGCTGGCTCTGTGAATAAATGAGAGTCAACAGAAATCTAAGAACTGAAGAGAGCTGTGAACACTGGGTACGTTAACACTAGATAGAGCTTGTTCACTGTTTCATGTACATTATAAATTTATATCTCTTCCATTAATAGACGCAAATAGAATACAGAAGATTCATTGAAAGAGAAAAACTTCCTGCCTTCAAATACGTAGCATGATATTTTAGTAATTCTTTCTCTTGAACAATCTTGTTTCCCACTTTCGTGCACCTGGCCAACTCCTACTCATTCTTTGAGGCCTCACTTGAAGATCACCTGCTCCAAGAAGCTCCCTCCCAGTTCCTTCCAGCCTGTGTGTGGCTCCCTCTGCTATGCTTCCCACTCACTGTGTATGCTTCTCACCAAAGTTATCACACAGTTCTACTTATATGTTCATAGATGTGCTTATATGTAAGGTAAGGAGTTCTTCAAGGAACAAGAGTAAGTCTTGTCCATCACCTATCCCTCCCATTCAGGACCATTTTTGGTATAATAAATGAATGAATGAATGAATGAAAAAAATTAGACTCCTGTCATACTCTAGATCTCTGTCTTCAATATTAAAACCCTTCAAAAATTAATATAATAGAGCCAGCATTAATATAAAACATCACAAGCTATAAATTCTTCAAACTACTTTACCTTTTATAGAGTGCTGATGTGTAAAAACATATTGCAAGTAAAATTAAGGAAAAAGTCTGATCGTTGTGAATCTATTTAGATGTTTACAATACATGGTTAATGTCATTTATCTTGCAACCACCGCTTTATAGTGCAAAGACCCCCCAAAAAACTGACAGAGAACAATTTCAAGCTACAGTTGACCCTTGAACAACACAGGTTTGAACTGCATAGGTCCACTTATATGCAGATTTTTTTTTCAATAAATATATTAGAAAAATGTTTGGAGGTTTTCAACAATTTGAAAAAACTCAGACAAACCGCATAGGCTAGAAATATTGAAAAAATTAAAAAGTTAGGTATGTCTTGAATGCACAAAATATGTAGGTATTAGTCTATTTTATCATTTACTACCATAAAATATACACACACCTATTACAAAAAGTTAAAATTTATCAAAACATACATACACAAACAGACCGCACATGTGCCATTCATAGTCCAGAGACATACAAACAAATGTAAAACTGCAGTATTAAATCATAACTGCATAAAATTACGGTAGTTGGGACTACAAGCACATGCCACCTTGCCCAGCTAATTTTTGTATTTTTTTATAGAGATGGGGTTTCGTCATGTTTCCCAATCTGGTCTCAAACTCCTGAGCTCAAGCAATCCACCAGCCTCAGCCTCCCAAAGTGCTGGGATTAGAGGTATGAGCCACTGCACCCAGCTTTTATTGTGTTTTGTGCACTACTATAAACCTTGAATAATACCATGGGACCCATATGAAGTGCCACTAGTGATGCGGTAAGTGTTCCCAAGAAGCACAGAAAACTTGTGACATTACAAGAAAAAGTTGAATTGCTTGATATATACTGCAGATTAAGGTCTGCTGCTGCAGTTGCCTGCCATATCAAGATAAATGAATCCGGTATAAGAATCACTGTAAAAAAAAAAAAAAAAAGAAAAGAAAATTTGTGAAGCTGTCACTGCAGCTATGCCAACAGATGCAAAAACCTCACACTTTTTGTGAAAGACCTTTTCATCTCATATCGGAAATGCAGCTTTTATGCAGGTGTAAGAATTGCTATAAGAAGGGGATACTTATAGACTAATATTATTCAAGAAAAAGCAAAGTCATTATATGACCACTTAAAGCAAAAGGAAGGTGAAGGGTCTAAAGCTGGAGAATTTAATGCCAGCAAAGCATAGTTTGATAATTTTAGAAAAAAAGTTTGGCTTTTAAAATGTCAAGATAACAAGAGAAGCAGCTTCTATTGACCAAAAGGCAGCAGGCAAGTTCCCAGGCATCATTAAGAAAACCATTGACGATACCATCCTGGCTAACACGGTGAAACCCTGTCTCTACTAAAAATACAGAAGGCCGGGCACAGTGGCTCATGCCTGTAATCCCAGCACTTTGGGAGACCGAGTGGGCGGATCACCTGAGGTCAGGAGTTCAAGACCAGCCTGATCAACATGGAGAAACCCCGTCTCTACTAAAAATACAAAATTAGCCAGGCGTGGTGGCACATGCCTGTAATCCGAGCTACTCAGGAGGCTGAGGCAGGAGAATCGCTTGAACCCAGTAAGCGGAGGTTGCAGTGAGCCAAGATCCCACCATTGCACTCCAGCCTGGGCAACAAGAGTGAAACTCCGTCCAAAAATAATAATAATAATACAAAAAATTAGCCAGGCGTGGTGGCGGGCACCTGTAGTCCCAGCTACTCGAGGCTGAGGCAGGAGAATGGTGTAAACCCGGGAGGTGGAGCTCGCAGTGAGCTGAGATCGTGCCACTGCACTCCAGCCTGGGTGACAGAGCAAGACTCCATCTCAAAAAACAAAAACAAAAAAAAAAGAAAGAAAGAAAAAAAGAAAGAAAATCATTGAGGAGAAAGTGTATCTGCTTGAACAGGTTTTCAATGCAGACAAAAGTGCCCTATTTTGGAAATAAATGCCACAAAGGGCACTTATTAGTAAAGAAGAGAAGCAAGCACCAGGATTTAAGGCAAGAAAGAGCAGGCTATCTTTACTGTTTTGTGCAAATGCAGTCAGTTTATGATCAGGACTGCTCTTACCTATAAAGCTGCTAGCTGCTAATCCCCGAGCCTTGAAGGAAAAAGATAAACATCAGGTGCCAGTGTTTTGGTTGTAACTATAAGAACTACTGGACGATGAGAAACCTGTCTGGACTGGCTCCATGGACGTTTTACCTCTGAAGACAAGAAGCACCTTGCCAGTAAAAGACTGTCTTTTAAAGGTTCTTTTGGCCGGGCATGGTGGGTCATGTATGTAATCCCAGTGCTTTGGGAGACTGAGGCGGGTGGATCACTTGAGGTCAGGAGTTCAAGACCAGCCTGGCCAACATGATGAAACCCCATTTCTACCAAAAATACAAAAATTAGCCATGCATGGTGGTGGGTGCCTATAATCCGAGCTACTCAGGAGGCTGAGGCAGGAGAATCACTTGAACCCAGAAGGCAAAGCCTGCAGTGAGCTGAGATCATGCCACTGCACTCCAGCCTAGATGACAGAGCGAGACTCTGCCTCTAAATAAATCAATAAATAAATAAAGGTTCTATTGGTATTTGATATAGTTTGGATATTTGTCCCCACCCAACTCTCATGTTAAATTGCAATCCCCAACGTTGCAGGTGGGAACTGGTGAGAGATGTCTGGGTCAGGAGAGCAGATTCCTAATGACTTGGTGCTGTTCCTCAGGATAGTGAGCAAGATCTGGTTGTTGTAAGATGTGGCACCTCCCCTCCACCTCCATCAACTCTCTCTCTTGCTCTTGCTTTCACCATGTGAAGTGCCTGCTCCTGCTTCAGCTTTTGCCGTGAGTAAAAGGCCATGAGGCCTCCCTAAGGCCTCCCCAGAAGCTGAGCAGATGCCAGTGCCATGCTTGTACACCCTGCAGAACAGTGAGCCAATTAAGTCTCTTTCCTTATTAAATTACCTAGTCTTAGACACTTCTTTTGGCAACACAGGAACAACCTAATACAATATTAGACAATGCCTCTGCTACCCAGAACCCTATGAGCTCATCACCGAAGCCACTGAAGTGGCCTCCTTACCTCCAAATACAATGTCTCTAACTCAGTCTCTAGCTCAGGAAGTCTTAAGGACATTTAAGGCTCTTTACACACAGTACTCAATGGAAAGGATTGTCAACGCTATGGAAGAGAACGCTGATAGAACATCATGAAAGTCGGGAAGGATTACACCATTGAAGACACTATCATCGTTATAGAAAAAGCCAAGAGAGTCATCAAGCCCAAAACAATAAATTCCTGCTGGAGAAACGCTGTATCTAGATTTTGTGCATGACTTTAAAAGATTTACAGAGCCAATCAAGGAATCATAAAAGGGACTGTGGATATGGCAAAAAAGGTAAGGGATGGAGGGTTTCAAGATACGAATCTTCGAGAAATTCAAGAGCTAACAGACACCACAACAGAAGAATTAACAGAAGACAACTTGATGGTAAGTGTTTCCAAACCAGTGCCAGATGACAATGAGGACTATGGAGAAGAAGCAGTTCCAGAAAACAAACTGACATTAGACAACCTGGCAGAAGGGTTCAAATTATTCAACACTGCTTTTGCCTTCTTCTACAACATGGACCCTCCTATGATATAGCACTGAAACTAAAGCAAAGCAGGGAAGAATTGGTACCACATAGAAACATTTTTAAGAAAATGAAAAAACAAGTCAGACAGAAATTACAATGTATTTCCATAAAGTTACACCAGTGTGGTGCCTCTCCTGCCTCCCCTTTCACCTCCTCCACCTACCCCAAGACAGCAAGACCAGCCCCTCCTCTTCCTTCTCCTCTTCAGCCCATTCAACATGAAGGCAATGAGAATAAAAACCTTTATGATGATCCACTTCCATTTAATGAATAGTAAATATATTTTCTCTTATTTTCTTAATAAGATTTTTCTCTTGTCTAGCTTACTTTATTGTAAGAATACAGCGTATAACACATATAAATACAAAATACGTGTTAACCAACTATTTGTTATCAGTAAGGCTTCTGGTCAACAATAGGCTATTTGTAGTTAAGTTTGTGGGGAGTCAAAAGTTATACACAGAATTCCAATTTCCCCAGGGGTGGGGTCAGCACCTGTAACCTCTACATTGTTCAAGGATCAACTCTAAACACAAACCTGTATATCTTCACAAGTCAAAAGTTGTGACACTTCACTGTCAATCAACGTGAAGGAGCCAACAGGAGGGCCATTCAGATTCTCAGCATTACGCGCTTCTAGGAGAAAGCCTTTAAATGGATGCCCTGACAAAGTAACTGAGAAAAAGACAAAAGGATTGGTTAAAAAGCTTAGCAATATCAAAAAGAAAATGTTTAGAGGTCGTACATTACAATTAGAATGAGGTGTATGTATGCAAAACTACTCCTGGAGAGAAAAGAGTCATCCTATACGCAAAGAAGCTCTAAACTGTGTTCCATAAGATGTTCACTCTGTGAGCCATTCCACAAAGAGAAAAGAAAAATAGGTGATGGTCCAGGGGCAGTCCATAAGGCTAAGTTAGTTTATACCTATTGGGTACTATGCTTATCACCTGAGTGATGAAATAATCTGTACACCAAACCCTCGTGACATGGAATTTACCAGTAAACAGACCTGCACATGTACCCCTGAACCCAAAATAAAAGTTTAAAAAAAAATGTTTACTTGACCTCATTAGAGGAAAAAACATGAGGTGTTTTCTTTTGAATTCCAGTATTTAATACAGTGTCTGGCTCATAGTGACACTCAATAAATTCTTACTGAATTAAAAAAAAAAAGAAAAACACTAGATGAAAGTAAATACTTGTTTCTTTGCTGCAAATTTCTTAGGGTATTTAATATCCTACTGTACAGTGTGAACTCTAAGGTATATTATATATCACACAGAATATTCCAAACTTACTTTTTCTATAAACTCTCTGTGTAACAGAGTACCTATCAACATTTTGCATTTCTAGAGTTGCAAAAAATAAAGTTTGCAAAATGCTGTTACAGATTTATCTTTAATAATCAGCCTACATTTTACCAGAGAAATTAGAGAATTATTCTTAAAATTATATGATGTTAAGAAGGACAAGGGTTTATATATTTTAAACAAGATAAAATAAACTTTATTTTTCTCTTCTCTTGAAGTAATAGCACAATTAATAAAAACAGTAAATAATGAAAAAAACTTATTTTAAAGCCTGTTCTGGGTGGGGAATACACAGACTACTTAAGTAACATAGTCATCTGGAACCAAAAATAAGAAGTATGATAGTATCTTACAAAAGAAAACAGATTTAAATGAAATAGTCTAAATCAAATAATAATAAAGATTCAATAAACAGTAAAAGAGTGAAATCCAAAATGTAAACAGTTAATCCCAGCCCGGTACCTTCAATCTGATCTCCTGGTCTGAATGTCATCTGACTCACGGAAATGTCATGAACAGGAACAGACTGTGGACTATGACCATGTTCAGGAATCATTCCATGGCATGACTGTGTTACTTTTCCATTGGGATAATTAGCCACATAACTAATATGCAACAGAAGTATGCAGGCACCAACAGTAAATCCAGAAACTGCCATCTCAAAAAGAAGATTAAAAGCCCATTATTGTCACATATAATTAAAGTAAAATATAAAAGCTTTTACACCACAGGACTATAATTCTAGATAACTACTTGCTTTCTGTGTTCAGCAAACCAAACCATATTCTCAACATACCTGCTAAAAAGAAAGTGATATGTGAAGTTTCACCTGAATTTCAATCTCAGCTCTACAAATTACTGTGAGACTTTGGGCAAATCGTTTAATCTTCCACTTCCTTACCTGAAAAATAAGGAAACAAAGACCCTCTTTTCAATGTTTTTTGTTTTTTGTTTTTTAATTAAGACAGAGATCTCGCTCTGTTGCCCAAGCTGGAGTGCAGTGGTGCGATCTTGGCTCACTGCAACCTCCACCTCCCGGGTTCAAGTGATTCTCCTGCCTCAGCCTCCCCAGTAGTTGGGAATACAGGCATGCGCCACCACACCTGGCTAATTTTTGTATTTTAGTAGAGATGGAATTACACCAAGCTGGTCTCGAACTCCTAACCTTAGGTGATCCTCCCACCTTGGCCTCCGAAAGTTCTGGGATTACAGGCACGAGACACTGTGCCTGGCCCAATGTTGTTTAAATAAAAATGAAAATATAGCTCAAACTCTGACAAGGACGATAATAAATAATAGCTTTCATTATTATCAATTGGAAATAATAAACTAGTCAATAAAAGCAAAAGGTTTTACTCCACCTCATCCTAGAAAGCTTAAAGAACAAAGAAGAAATGTTTCTTCTGGATTTAAATATCATCACCCAAATAAATCTATGATAAGACTTTTCCCAACTTCCTATTAAACTGATCATAATGACTGGATGGATAATTTAATTTGCAATACTGAAAACTGAGGATAACAGAGAACCAATTGGTAGAGATAATATTTCTACTACCTGTAGCCCAGATACTTCTGAATTAAGAAACACAATTGTCAGCCCACACAATCTTCTTCCCTCCCACGGCTCCAATTTTCCTCTTACCATCTGGATAATAGAAAACCAGCTACTTTACCTCAGTCCCACCCTCTTGTAGCCCAGATCAGCCACTTTGCTTGATGCATGTATTCAAAATCTGCAAATCACAGGACTCAATAAGGCGGGAGGTGATGAGCAGTGACACGTTGCATGGCAGTAAATAAAGTTAACACCATGGACAGGTTAAAGATGGGAAATGCCTAAGAGGCAGTTAATTATTTATAGAAAATGAGTTTTCTATATCATATATCTGGTCATAGACAAAAATAATAGCAGCCTTAGAATCACTAGAAAAAATTATTGTTTTTTTAGTTATGTCAATCAGGAGCAAATATTTAACCGCAGCCTAACTTGCTGGGGTTTTATCAGAGTCTATATGACCTGGAGGAGGGGAAATACCCAATTCCTGCTCACATTAGCCATCCTGTTTCACCTAAGTGGGGGAAGAACCTTGAAGCGGTTGTGAGGTTCACACTTCAGGGACATAAGCTCACTAAAAGACTGAGGTCTCTTCACGGGGCTACAGAGAACAGTTCTCCTCCTCCCACTCCTTACCACCACATTATTAAAGGCCTATTTACAGCAGTTCCTTTTACCCAATGCATCATGTCCAGTTATTAAGAACAAATTACAAGGCATACTGAAAGTCAGAAAACATAATTTGAAGAAACAGGGCAAGCCTCAGAACCAGACTTAGATATGATAGAGATGTTGAAATTATTAGACCAGGAATTTAAAACATTATGATTAAGATACTAAATGCTTTAATGGATAAAGTAGATGGCACATAAGAACAAATGCACAGAGATGGAAATTCTCAGAACTAAAAAGAAATGCTAGAGATCAAAAACACTTTAAAAGAAGTGAAGTATGGGCTTATGGGTAGACTGGACATATCTGAGATAAGAATCTCGTAGCTTGAAGATATCTTAATAGAAAAATACCAAACTGAAAAGAAAAAAAAAAAAAAACTGAAAAAAAGAGAACAGATCCAAGAACTGTGGAACTACAAAAGCTACAATACACATGGAATGGGAATTTCAGAAGGAGAAGAGGGAAGGAAACAGGAGAATTATTTGAAACAATAATGACTGAGAATTTCCCCCAAACTATTATCAGACACACAATACCAAGTGGGATAAAAAAAAAATCCTACATCTAGGTATATATGATGGTTCATTTATATGTCAACTTGATTGGGCTGAGGGATGTTCTGATAGCTGATAAAATACTATTTCTGGAGTGTCTATGAGTGTGTTTCTGAAAGAAGTTAGCATCTCAATCAGGAAACTGAGTAACAAAGATCACCTCACCAAAGTGGGTAGGTATCATCTAATCCTCTGAGGGCCTAAATGGAATAAAAAAGCAGAGGAGGAGGGAATTACTCTTTCTTCTTGATCTGAGATATCCCTCTTCTCTTGCCCTCAGACATCAAGACTCCTGGTCTTGGGGTCTTAAAACCATAGGACTTACACCAGCAATCCTTTCCCCAACCCAAGGCCCTCGGACCTGACCAGGAGGTACACTACGGGCTGACCTGGTTCTTAGGCCTTTGGGCTTACACTGAACTACCCCAGCAGCTTTCCTGGTTCTCCAGCTTGTAGACAATAGATTTTGAGACTCGTGGGCTTTCAGAATCATAAGTCAATTTCCATAATAAATATCTATAATAAATATAAATAAAATCTTATTTTAATCTGTCACTTTGGAAAACCCTGATAAATATGGCATATCATTTTCAAACTACAGACATCTAAGCTTTTTTTAAATCCTGAAAGAAGCCAGAGGAAAAAGATAGGAATAAAGATAAGAACTATATCTGACTTTTGCTCAGAAACCACACAAGCAAGAAGAGAGTAGGGTGAACTATTTAAAGTGTTGAGAGAAAAAAATGGGCACCATAGAATTCTATACCCCAAAAAATTATCTCTCAAAAGTGAAGAAGAAATATGAAGACCTTCTCAGACAAACAAAAATTGAGGGAATGTGTTGCCAGTAAGACCTATCTTGCAAGAAAAGTGAAAAGAAATTCTTAAGAGGAAAGGAAAACAATAAAGGTCAGAAATTCAGATCTACATAAAGAAAGAAGAGCATTGGAGAAGAAATAAGTGAAGGTAAAGTAAAAACGTTTTTCTTCCACTTAATCTAACATGAAAGTTTGTTTGAAATAATAATACTTATAATTCTCTGTATATGCTTATCTATGATTATTTTCATATGCTTCTATATCAGCAAAATAAATGACAAGATATAAGGGATGGTGAGATAGAGCCAGGACCTCTCTCTTAGGGACCTACCTCTCTCAGCCTTCATAGAATTAAAGAAAGGTAGGACCTTGCTCTGGACTAGACTTTGGCTTAAGGAAATGTGATTGGTTTGATCTTCTATCCAGACCACTAAAACTTTCCCCATATCAACAATAAGGCTGTTTTGCCTTCTTATCATTCATATGTTCACTGGAGCAACCATTTTCTTCAAGAACTTTCTGTTTGCATTTACAACTTGGCTGACTGGAACAAGAGGCCTAATTTTCAGCCAGTCTTGGCTTTTGGCATGCCTTCCTCACTAAGCTTAATCATTTCTAGCTTTTGATTGAAAGTGAAAGATATATGACGCTTCCTTTCACTTGAAAACTGACAGGCCATTACAGGGTTTTTTGTTTTTGTTTTTGTTTTGTTTTGTTTTGAGATGGAGTCTCGCTGTGTCGCCCAGGCTGGAGTGCAGTGGCTCCATTTCGGCTCACTGCAAGCTCCGCCTCCCGGGTTGACGCCATTCTCCAGCCTCAGCCTCCGGAGTAGCTGGGACTACAGGCGCCCGCCACTGCGCCCGGCTAATTTTTTTATATTTTTAGTAGAGACGTTGTTTCATCGTGTTAGCCAGGATGGTCTCGATCTCCTGAACTCGTGATCACTCACCTCGGCCCCCCAAAGTGCTGGGATTACAGGCGTGAGCCACCCCACCCGGCCTATAGGGTTCTTAATTGGCCCAATTTCAATATTGTTGTGCCTCAGGGAATAGGGAGGCCTGAGGAGGAGAGAGATTGGAGAATAGCCAGTTGGAAGAGCAGTCAGAAGATACACAGTTATCAATTAAATTTGCCATCTTATACGAGTGCAGTTTGTGTCTCTACAAAACAATAGAAACATCAAAGATCACTGATCACAGATCACCATAACAGATAATGAAAAAGTTTATAAACTTACACAAGTGTGGCCAAGCGTGGTGGCTCACACCTGTAATTCCAGCATTTTGGGAGGAGCGCTTGAGCCCACTAGTTCAAGACCAGCCTGGGCAATATAATGAGACCCCCATCTCTATTTTTTAATTAAAAATAAAAATAACAAATAATAAATAACAAAATAGAAATTTACCAAAATGTGACATAGAGACACAAAGTGAGCATGTGCTGTTGGAAAAATAGTGCCAACAGACTTGCTCAATGAGGAGTTGCCACAAGCCTTCAATTTGTAGCCAGGCACAGGACAAGGGGGCTGGCCTCCAAACCCTGGGCTCAAGGGAACCTCACCCCTATTATCCCAACACTTTGAGAGGCTGGGGATGAAGGATCCCTTCAGTTCAGGAATTCGAGACCAGCCTGGGCAACATGGTGAGACCTCATGTCTACAAAAAAATTTAAAAATTAGCTGACTGTGGTGGCACATACCTATGACCCCAGCTACTTAAGAGGCTGAGGCAGGAGGATCCTTTGATCCCAAGAATTCAAGGTGGCAGTGAGCTATGATCACACCACTGCACTCCAGCCTAGGTAATAAAGCAAGACCTCTGTCTCAATTAAAAAAAAAAAAAAAGGCAGGGTGTGGTGGCTCATGCCTGTAATCCCAGCACTTTGGAGGGAAAGGCAGGAAGATTGCTTGAGCCCAGGATTTCGAAACCAGCCTGGCTGGGCAACATAACAAGACCCTTTTTCTTTTTTTTAACAATTTTATAATTTTTTTTATAATTTAATTAAAAAAAAAAAAAAACCTTCAATTTGTAAAAAAACACAGTATCTGCAAAGCACAATAAAGTGAAGTGCCATAAAGCAAGCTATCCCTGGTCGGGCACGGTGGCTTACACCTGTAATGCCAGCACTTTGGGAGGCCGAGGAGGGTGGATCACGAGGTCAAGAGATCGAGACCATTCTGGCTAACTGGTGAAACCCCGGGTCTACTAAAAAAATACAAAAAAATTAGCCGGGCTTTATGGGTGGGCGCCTGTAGTCCCAGCTACTCAGGAGGCTGAGGCAAGAGAATGGCGTGAAC